TGAAGAATTTGATAAGAGGGAAAATATTCTGTATATTGAATTGTTCTGCTAAGTACAAGGAGTTTCTCCTTTATTTATAGGAGAGGATAAAGACCAAAACACAAAAGGAATTCTATTCCTACAAGGAAACAAATCACTAAATATGAACAAGGAAACAAATCAAGAGCAATCCCACTTAGAATGGGATTTGCTCTCCTTCTTGCCGTGTGGTCCAAGGAGCACCGCCCAACAAGTTCTTACCGAGCATATCCAAGAACCCGTACCATGGTGCATGCTTTTTGCCGATGACATTATCCTTATGAGCGAATCACGAGAGGATTTGAATGAAAAGTTGGATTCGTGGAGACATGCTTTGGAGTTGCATGGATTGCGTATAAGTCGCACTAAAATAGAGTATATGGAGTGTAAGTTTAGCAACAGAAGGAGAAATAGTAACATCGAGGTGAAAGTCGGGGAAAATACTATACCACAAGTAAAGAGATTTAAATATCTTGGGTGTATCATTCAAGACAACGGAGAAATAGAGGATGATGTTAACCACAGGATTCAAGCCGGTTGGTCAAAATGGCGGAGTGCTTCGGGTTTTATATGTGACAAAAAAGTACCTTTAAAACTAAAGGGAAAATTCTACCGTACTGCAATTAGACCAGCTATGTTGTATGGAACAGAGTGTTGGGCATCAAAGGGTGAACATGAACACAAGATTAGTGTGGCCGAAATGAAGATGCTTTGATGGATGAGAGGTCATACGCGTATGGATAGAATAAGGAATGAAGATATGCGAGCTAAAGTTGGAGTGACATCTATTGTGGAGAAGATGGTGGAAACTCGTCTTAGGTGGTTTGGACATGTGGAGAGAAGACCAATAGAACATCCGGTGAGAAAGGTTGATCAGATGGTGGATAGACATGTGGTTAGAGGAAGAGGTAGACCTAAGAAGACTTGGCTCAAAGTGGTTAAGGGGGACCTTCGCGTGAATGATCTCACTGCAGATATGGTATATGACAGGGTGCAATGGCGTCATTTGATCCATGTAGCCGACCCCACCTAGTGGGATAAGGCTTTGTTGTTGTTGTTGTTAAACTAAATTTAACATATACAAAGTACTATATAAGGAGTATAAGTTGTTTGGCACAATTTTTGGGAAAAGATACATTAAATTTAACATATACTTCGAATAGGCCTCTTTTTTTTGGGGGGGGGGGGGTTATTAATTTTTTCAATAGGTCATTGTTAACAACAACTCACACCCAATGATAGAGCTGTGTCATCGGTCTTTTCTAACATCGCAGGCTTTCTTATAGAGGAACCAGTTGGCCTAGCTGCTGCTGGTCCAGCGACATCATCCTGTAAATCAACATATTGACTGCAAGTAAACAAAATAGTCTTTGAAACGAGGGCAAGTCAAATATATTTTTAAAAAAAAAATTATTTTAATCAACCAGAAAGTAATTTCAAACCCCTTGTTGTTAACAAGAGGTGACATGACTATAATATTTTATCAAATTATCAATGAAAATACGTAAGCAAAGAAGATATGGTTTGACCCTATGAATAGTGAACTAGAAGTTCTTTTAGAGGCGAATGAATAATAATAATAATAACAACAACAACAACAACAACAACAACAATAATAACGATAGAGTAGCACAGAATTTGTGCTAAATAGAAACATAGTGTGGTCTACTATACTAATTCTTACACCTTCAAACTTTATGGTCAAAATCACAATGCAATTAGGTGAATGGCCTCGTCCGCTAAGCATCATTAAGTAGAACAACCTTCTACATGTCATTGAAAGTTTGAACATTCACAAGGAAACGTTATCCGAAAAAAACTAACAGAGAAAGAAATACAGAAGGATTAATTCATTATTCTATAGTTCTCTTGAGTTGTCGAGAAAGGATTGTTCATTGTTGGATCAATAGGCCAATGTCTTTTTCAACGACATAGGCCAAAATATATCGAGTCCATCTAGATTAAGTAAAAAGGGATACCAACTTACCGTATAGTCCGGCCACATTGCTTCCTGAGACCTCTTTTTTGCCATGTGGTCATTAGGCATTCCACCACTGGAGGAAGAAAGCTGCTAAAAAGACAAAATCACAGAATTAAAACAAATGAGGCACTCATTTTAATTCCTAAATATGAACAAAGTCCATCTCTCTTACCACAAGTTCAATTTTACAACACAGCAGTTAATATTACTCTGTATTTCACAAAGGCTTGTTAAGTTCGGTTTTATGTTAATGATCAAATAGATACAGCCAAGGCTCAGATGGTCAACTGGCATCCACGTTGTTTTCTTAAACTGTCAATCAAAGGTTCCATCCTTCACTCATAAGTGTCGAGTTCATAACAAAATTTATTGTCAACGGTCATGAGATCTTATGGGACCTTGGATTCATTCCCAATAGTTAAAAAAGACTCCATTTACTCCTTATTAAGTACTGAAGGTGAATTTGATTATTATTTACTCTCTGTCCTAAAACTTTTTTGTCACTTTCCTTTTTTGATTTTCCTAAAATTCACTTCCGATTTCTTCTTTAGCAAATGTTTGTGTGACATATTTTTCTCTCTCACTTCAAAGCCATCTACTATCACACAATTCCATTTTTCTTAATAACCATGTCAAGTCAATTTGGGAAGAAAATTGTATGATGGATGGAGTACTATTGTTGTAGCTACTGTTATTGAGGATCAGAGCCTTTTTCTATTATCATAAAAAAAATTAATTAAATTGTTACTCCGTAAGATCTAAATAAATGGCAATGTTATACTAATAGTGTAATACTAAATATATATCACAACAAAAATCAAATTTCGTACATATCCAAACAAATATTTGAGTAATGATAACAATTCCAATATTAGAGAGGCATACATACAAATTGCTTTTATCTGTGTTTGAACCAAACGCCCAATTATTAGAGTGAATGCAAGCTAAACTAAATGAGTGTACAACTAACATCAAACACAACAATCCTTTCGATTTTGTTTCGTTACGATTGATTTATGCAACATATTATCCAATTGGGAATTTGGATCTATGAGACTTCAACCTCACACTAAGATCCTCGTGATTCAAATTGAGCGAGTTGTATGACCTAGTTCACACACATTATTTGAAATGAACAAAGCTTTTTCAAGTTAGGAATAAAAGGAAAAGGACTATTGAGGTTGCATGCAGAATAATGCACTCTTTCTCACCTGAAGATGACAAGGTTCCAAAGTGTCAAAAAGATCTTCAGTTACATCTTGGGCTCTGACAGTATATAGAGCATTTTTAAGTCCACGGGAAAGAAGATATTCCTCTGTGTCCTTAGGCATTGAATGTCCTTTAAACACACTAACTGGAGGATCACATATCTGGTAAGGGAAGGAAAAACACAAAAGAATTGAATAATCAGAATAAAAGTTAAAAAAACCTACCTTCAAACTAAAATATTTCCAAGCACCTAATAACTGTGTAAATACATCTAATGCAGTGGTGGAAATGCAACAAAATGTTACAGTTTCCATTTTCCAAAATAATGTTAGTGAACAAAGCATGTGGTGATAGGTAAAGTGTTCACTCAGATACAATTTCTGGAATTCTACTAGATGCATAAAACAAAATACCTAAAGAACTCTCATTCCTTAGGTGCCAGAAACAACTGAACACACTAGAGAAAAGAGTGGCCACCACTATTTCCTTACTAAACTAAAGAATCTTAGGATTCACTATTTCTAAGTTGCAAGTAGCAGACAAATCTATCAGCAACATATTACATATGAATGCATATAGCAATCAAAACCTCTATGTCCCCTTTGATGTAAATATCTCCATCGAAAAAACTTTTCAAAGCTAAACGATTTCTCTAATGAAATGGAGCATCCCAAAGTACTCCATAATGCACAAAGGAGATGTCATAGTGCAAGTACTGCATAGTGGAATAAGAAATGCCTCTTACACACTCCAAGGTAGACTTAAAAAAATCATATAGATTACCGAAGATCCGACTTGAGTCTGGCAATCACTCAAATTCTTGTAAATTCCAATGAGATCCCCCTTCCTGACAACAAAGAAACTGTCTCCTTCCTCATTCATTTTTGGAGTAGTAGCAAGAGTGGGACCGGACTTTTGTGACCGAGAATTCTTTCGTCGAGGCCCTTTAGATGAATACAGCCTAATGCAAGAACTATTCAGAAACCAGTTAAAATTAACACTCCCAGCTCCAACATGGTTGACACTGGCATTCCATCTGTAAGCTGAGAATTTGCAAAATGTACTCGTTCTTAACACATTTGTAGTGTTTGATGATATAGCAGCAGAACATGCACGAAACAAGCCGTTCATTAGCAGTAGCACCTCCCCCGGGTCTCCACCAATTCCTGTACACGAGAAAAAGCACACAATTTGTACAAAATCAACAATTAACTTGAGTTTATAGTGGAAATCGATCAGAAATTTTGAAAGCTAAATAAAAACCCTAACTATTAAAGCCACTTCTTCATCAATTCCAAGCTAAATGCAATCGATTAATCACAATTCACAACCAAGCACAGCAAAAGCAATGTGTGATGCATTGAAGCATAGACACGCAAAACCTTCGGAGAAATCGCGTGGCTGCCAGGAAAAGCATGTACCTTGGGCGCAGCCGGGGAAGATGACTGAGAAACGCAGGGCCGACGGAGAAAGGGAGGGCGAGATACACCGCCGTCGGGAGTATTTCTTTCTTTCTTTTTTTCTTTCTTTTTTTTTTTTTTGCTAATTTTTGAACGTAGAGATGAAGAAGGTTGTCCTCCCGTATCCTCCCGATAGTGTTAACTCACCAAGTTAACATACAAACAATTACTCTATCATTAACCTCCGTCCCAAAATGATTTTTCTCTTTATTATTACGGTCTTTCGATAATTTTAATTTATTTGCATGTTTTAATCTATCGTTTGATAATATAAAATATTTTTGTCACCTTCTGTTTTGTAAAACTTTTAATGTAGTTTTTAAATATATAATTTTTAATTTTTATTTCAATACTAATTTGTAAATAAAATCATTTTAAAACTCACGAGATTTTGCACGTTAATCAGAGTGTGTAATTCTTTTAGGGACGGAGGGAGTATATAATTTTGTAAAATATTTGATGTAAACCTTATGAATTCCTATTATTTTAATAATTTGAATGGTTACATCTTAGTTTCAAAATTTGAATTTGAATTCTTGAATTTGAAATCACAAAATACGGAGAAAAATGTATGAATGTGTAGTTGAGCTCGTTGGAAACTATATGAATTTGTATCAAATCAAAATTTTTAAAATTTTCATACATGTAATTTGGATTAAATATGAATTTGAAATTTAAATTCAAGTTCTCAAACACTTCCGTATTTAGACTAAATAAAATTGGTACCCTTGTATTTATTTCTCTAACGTGCAAATAATTTATGTAATTTATACAAATTTATATAGAATTACATTAAGGCCATGTGTTATCATGGCGTGAGGAGCACGTCACTACCTCCTTCACGCCTAACTCTCCGCCCTGCACTTCATTGGAGGAGCGTGGCCCCTTCCTGCATGCGGGTCATTCCACCGTGGACACAAAGAAAAAAAAGAGAGAAGATAGAGTGATGAACAATCGCACAAATGGCATCGGAAAAGTTTAATTCAACCAGCAAAAAAAAAGCATCAAAATATTTGGGGTTATGGTGAAGCAATGATGAAGAATAATTATTTATGGAGTATAATACGGATTTTTTTTAACACTAATAACTCTATTACAAGGTAGTATCTATCCATACATTCTCAACTTATTGAAGCTCCTAGAGCTATTGCTCTCACCAGAATCGAACACATGACATCTCATTTGGGAGAGTCAAAGCGGTGCCATTAAACTACAATGTCCTTAGCATAATAGAGAGTAAATAGCTTCAAATCCATAATTATAAGTTATAACAACAAGTCAATAGGATCTGGAGAGAGTGTGTAAGCAGACTTTATCCCTACTCAAAAGTAGGCTCTTTTCAAAGAGATCCTCATCTCAAGCACCATAGGTAATCATGTACTCAACATGACTCCTATGTTTGAAACATACATCATAGGTAATCATGTACTCAACATGACTCCTATGTTTGAAACATACATCATAGGTAATCATGTACTCAACATGACTCCTATGTTTGAAACATATAGCGACTGTTTCCGTGTGACTCATAATGAGCGTTGAAAGTTGTATTGACTAACCGCTACTTTACTATTAAAAGAAAAACATATAATTTTCCATTTTGCTTTATTCCATCGTATCAAAGTCAAAAAAATAGTGAATCTTTAGCTCCATCGGATATCTAAATTCTATGCATTTTAACAATGTTTCGAAAGCCCCATAATTTATACGGAGTGTTAATTTCGAAAAGTTTACACTTTTTGATGTAATTAATACGTAGTAAAAACTTTTAAAGTTTATTTTCAATACAGCTAAGTTCTTACGAGTATTTATTTTTAAAAAATCTATACAGTTGCGACTGACACTTTTTTTTTTCCTTTCTCCTTTCTTTCTTCTTCTTCTTCTTCTTCTCCTCTTCCGTCAGTTTCTTTCTCCTTTTTTTTTCCTTTCTCCTTTCTTCTTCTTCTTCTTCTTCTTCTTCTTCTTCTTCTTCTTCTTCTTCTTCTTCTCCTCTTCCGTCAGTTTCTTTCTCCTTTTTTTTTCCTTTCTCCTTTCTTCTTCTTCTTCTTCTTCTTCTTCTTCTCCTCTTCCGTCAGTTTATTATGGTTTTTAATTTCAGTTTTTTATTTTGTTTCTTTCTTTTTCTGATTTCAGTTTTTAATTTTTAAATTTTTAATTTCAAATTTTGTTTTATTTTAATTAAAAAAATTATATAGAATGTTTTAAAATTAATAAGTAAAAATAAAAATTAAAAAAAGAATGGGGATTTGAATGGGGATCCACACCCCTGAATTGGGGATGAAATGGGGAAAGCTGATGTGGCGCTGAGTTGGAAGTGGGGATGGTGAGGATGACACCATATAGCCTTAAGGTAATTAAGTTCATTGACACAGACAATCATCACCTCTTGGCAGATCCAAGAATGTTTGGGTTTCCTGATGATGACTTGCCATTCTTTCCTCTTTCAACTTTCTTTCTTTCTTCTTCGTCTTCTCATTTACTTACTTGTGTTTTTCTGTTGAACTGTGTAGAGAAGGATGATGATGAATTGCTTCCTCCAACCCCTTCTTCTGTTCATCATCACCCGAGTTGGTGGTCCCCACAAACGTTCCAGATACCTCTCCATCCAAATCCTCAGCTTCCGCAAGATGATGAGAACAATGACGTACTAGTTTCATCGGGCATGCACTGCACGTTCCTGGGATTTGCGGGGTTGGAACTCATCATCACACATTTGATATGCTTCTGGATCTTACCGAAGCCTATGCTCTTCCCTGAGAACGTCTGTACAAATCTACCATGATCCACAAAACCTCTCATCACAAAAGAATGTAGAGTAAAACTCCAGTATGCTACTGGCCAAATTAGTTTCACCAATAGAAAAGTATCTGAAAGGAAAAATAAAAAAAAACCTTACAAGCAGCAGAAACAACAAACAAACCCGGTATAATCCCACAAAAGTAGGGCAATGATAGCGAAGACGGCGATAACTCCCCTTTTTCGAGCTTCGAGTTCACCGCCAACGACATGTTCTCCTAGTCAGTGCTGCGTTTAGAAACCTGCTGCGGATGCTCACTGTACAGGCATAGCATCGCCGAGACCGTCTTTTCGACGTAGTTCCACGCCGGAACCGTAGTGAAACCCAGTCTAAAACGACCGGTTCATCCCGGTTCACAGTGGTTCGATGCTTGTAACGGTCTGATAGGCCATACCGGACAAGACTCAGCACCGGTTCAAAGTTATCTTTCGTATTTGGAGAGTTAATCCTCCTCAAATTGGATTACAATCTGCAGCTATAGTTATCGATTCGATCTTCCAAAACCACCAACGTGTCAGGATTATTTATTCAAGATTGTTTTAACAATCTTGAATAAATTGATGAACGATATCATGTCCACATAATTTTTTTTAAAGCTTACCTAGTTTCAAAACCGCCAGATTCCCCGGAGAGTAGTCGAAGGGGAAACTATGAGTAATAAAATCAAATAGATCCCGTAAAAAAATTCAGCTCAAGGGTGAAAGAATTATCTGAAATGCGGTCAACTAAGTTTTTCGTTTTGTCCAAAACCCCAAAATATATTCAGCTCAAGGTTATTCATGCATTTATTCCAAGAAGGGAGGTAAGAAAAGGGCTAGGGTTAGAAACAGGAATAAATGGTGTGGCAATGGTACCATAGGCAGCTCCTTGTTATGTTGACAAAATAATACTAGGAAAGTAAATTTACTTGCCAATCACTTGGAACCTCTCTGGTTCTTCACAACCTCCAAAGTTCAAACGCATACAAACATAGCAAGGCAACCGAAATTGTACAGTATTTCAGTTGGAACACACACACACACACACTAGCTGTGTTGCACCAGTTCTCATGGACAAGGATGAAACACCACCACCACCAATTCTGGCACTGGTAATCGAGAGTGTGTGCATGGGACGGAGGGTCTTCCTGTACATATTATAGGGTCTTGCCATTTCCCATTTCCATTGTATTCCACCACTGGATGGATAGTGACAAAAGTTGAGCTGTTTTAAAATACTACTACTGCTACATAAAACTAACTACACTTATTCAAATCGTAATGAATATATATATATTTGTATATGGTCGAAAAGTTTCATGGACAATTTTTAAATTTACAGCCTAGGCAACTGGAGATTGTTTCCAAAAACAACTTCAAAGCTGTAGCCAACAGCGCGCTAATTTAACATTGCATAAACAAAACAATGTGTCATTACTTGATAACGATACAAAACAAATCTCCCATACCGTTTTGAGGAGGGGAAGGTGATATCCGGAACCGAAAGCAAGCGTACAATCTCCGGATGATCTTTTTCTTTCAGCTTCTACACAAAATGGTGTGCAAGCCCCGTTGGTAAAGCACAAACAATTTTACTAATGCAAAACCAACTCCCAAAAAAAAAATCACCAAAATAATAAAATAAACTAAATACATAGCACGACTTACAAATGTTTGTCCACTCTGAATGAATTTGTAGGGAGTACCACCAAACTTCTCAAAAAACTTCAAGTAATCTCAACATAAACACCATTTTTTCTTTATCAGCTGAGAACTTGCCCAACTGTCGCACCTCTTTGTCAATCAACTTCCCCATCTCATTCGCTACACACTGGCGTGTCTGAGCAAAGTCCACAGCCACCGAACCTTTCCCTCCTAGGTGTAGCAGAGTAGCCACCTTCACAATACTCACTTCTCTGACACATAAGCAAATCAACTCCCCTATCTCCTCATATTTTTCCAGATGTGACTTGATAGAATCAAGCAAGTTTGTCTGCCATCGAAACAAACCCACCTTAAGTACCATTGGTTCTTATAAATGCTTACTACTAATCAATAGAAGGAAAATACAGAATAATATTCGGGTTACCAACCAAATGAGGGGAAAAGAGTTCACCAATGAACCAGTTCACTGCTCCTTCTGAAGCCCAGTTTGCAAAATTTATTTCTTGGCTGCAAAGAATATGTTTTTTTTTTCTCAAATAAATCCACAAATCAAACTGGAGAAGGGTACAAAATTTCCCTATTTCCAACATTATGTAGTTTCATAATACACCAACAACATTACCCCGATGCCTCTAAGGCTCCCTCCCATTACGGGGTAAGGGGGGTCGGATGTAAGCAACCTGACCCCTATGTCTAAAACATAGGGCGGCTGATTCCAAATGACCCATGATCAGCGTCGAAAGTTACATTGACTAATTGCTAGTTCACTAGTAAATGAAGAGCAAACAGTAAAGAGAGAGAAAAAGTATTTGCAAATAAAAGAGAGAGAAAAGTATACAACAACAATAACAACCCAGTTAAATCCCACAAGAGTAGGGTCTGGGGAGGGTGTGTGTACGCAGACCTTGCCCCTACTCGAAAGTAGAGAGGCTGTTTCCAAAGAGACCCCCGGCTCAACGTCGAAAGTTGCATTGCTTGACTAACTGCTACTTCATTAATTAAAGAAGCGCAAATAGTTTAGATATCCATTTTGATTTATTCCATCACACCCCAAAGCCAAAAACAGGTGAAATTTTGGCTCCATCGGAGATGATGGAAAAGAGAAAAGTATTAACAAATAGGTAGCTGAAGAAAAAAGACTTCTCTAAGCTTCACATGACATTTTAAGAGATTGAGTTCTAGATCTTTCTCAAAATGCCTTTTGAGATAGATGAAATGCGTAGTGATCGCAAAAGATTGTACCACAAGAGTTCTAAATCTTTCTCGAGCGCAGCACTCTTGAAATCTTTATTCTTAGTGTTCATTCTACTGAATAGTTGAGGTAGGCAGATTGGAATCTTTCTCCAACTTGCATAATCACCAAAGCTCAAACAAGATCCCTTCAAAAGTAGGATACACATTAACTTGCCAGTTTTGCAAATTATGCAAAAAGTTATGCAAATATACACATTAACTAACCCAGACAAAAGCACTTAAAAATAGCCTCTTCCAATATACACGGGCTTCATGAGCATTAAATATTTTTTGCATGTGGAAGTTAGGGTTATCTATAAAAGCGAGAGAATGGTTGTTTTTTTATAATTAGTAATAATGGAAAATTTCATGTCATAAACGACAACTATCTCGATCATCAGCGCGACCGATTTGAACAATTACGCAATCCACACTTCCACAACTGGATGAGGGAGAACATCGTGTATGATCTTGAGAAAGAACAATTTAAGGATAACACCTATCAGTATCATTAAGCACGGCTTCTATGAGGAACACTATGCGCAAAGAAAATTGTGGCATACACACACATACAAATATGTGTGTGTAACACTTGATGTTTACAATACTAGTATAATATTGATTTCTCTCACTCGGATTATTTTTATATGAAACCCACCGTTGGGATAGAAAGATATTAGCATATAGATCATCATTCCAAAATTTCATAGTAATCAAAAATCGTTTTAACACTAACCGCTTCTCCTTTTGTTGGGGGGATGAGCGGATCAATACCCTTATACCTGAAAACAAAATACGGATCTCCTCTTAGAAATTCACCAACTAAACCCTCATAGGTATGCTTTAAGATATCCCGTTTTCTAATAAGATTGCCATCTTCACCATCGAGGCCTAAATTAGCCTCCAACCTATGTACATTCGCCGGGTAATGAGCCAAATTGCCCTCCCGGTAGATGGCTTCGCACGTCAAGTGTCGGAACTGCAGCATAATATCGAAAATGTCACTGCACAAATAACAAGTAAACACGTTAAATAAATACGAGTACAGTTATAACGATACAAAAGGAGCATCCTCAAAAGAACTATAAGTATTCATATATAAATTACCTCCAGAACGTAAAAAGTGCTAAATCGGCAGTAACTGCAAACTTCTTAAGACGTCGAATGTGAGTCTCGGAATCAGACAAATGTAGAACTTTTAAGTTCATGTTTTGGTTCATTAGAGACTGGAGGCCAAATTTGGAGGCCAAAGATTCGGCTTCATGTATGTTCTTCGCCGTAATCTGCTGGGATAAGTTCTGTTCCATCCATCCCATGCCATCAACATGATTCAGAATAACAGCCCCTATAAAAAAACACTGGAGCCGCTCTCTGGCAGACGCATCTGTGTACAAAACCACCTCTTAGTCATCACTAATAGGTTCAAAGAAGCACTTCGGTGGGTATTGTACCAACACCGACGACTCAAGCCTATGAGTATAGTCATTGTAGTCGACCATAACGTTCTTTTCTGTCAGAAATTTAAAGACTAAATCTTTGAGGTGTCCTGGTGTCTGCTTAAGGAGAGCATAGAGGTCAACCTTAGAGAGATAAACAGCTTTATGCTTTTCAGACGGGGGGTAGAGCAGGAAATGGGTGTTTAGATGATGGCATGGCGATGAAATCGTCAATGATTTTCCTAATGGCAACGCTGTTTTGGTAGAAATCTGAGCGCGCATTAAGCTCAGAGGCCTAGCCAACCTTGAAATCAAATACATCGATAAAGAAAGAGGAGGGTTAGAGACTCAGCTGAACCGCTTGGTAGAACTGAAAGCAGGAAAACTCCGGTGCTCGTGGCCGGCCTAAACCCTCCTACGCCCGACCGCCCGTCGATCTCTCCCCTTTCCGTTGAAACTTAGCTCTCTCTAATTTACTGGTGGGGGTAAACCGTAATGGAACACCCAAAATTTTACTGAGTACTCTAAGTACATTTTTGGGCTTCTCCATTTACAATGAGACCTGTCAATTGGGTCAATCGGTTAGGTTCCAATTCGATTATTATTATTACTAGTACTTCACCCGTGCGATGCACGGAAAAGTACATTTCTAAATAAAATGCAAAAGTTATAGAAATGTAAATATTATTAACATGAAAAAAGAAATAAATTAGTAATTAAGTTGGTATAGTTTTGACTTCTATTTATCTAATTATTAAGGTCTTAGACAAACGTGTTATGGAGACATATGTATGAACAAATCAATTAAAATATTAGAATGAGTAAATTAAGATCGAGGAATATAAGAGTCTGGCCCCAATTATAAATTTGGAATTACCGATATTGAAAAGGGGGCATTATAATAAAAATAAGTTGAATTTCATAAAACTCAAATATTCATAAAAACCTCTTTATACACAACAATCGTAGTCTCCCAATCTGGTTTATCTTGATCGTTACATATCAAAATCCTCAACCCCAAAGGACTTCTAACTCAAAAAAAAAACTTCAAACAAAACTTATGTCCAAAAAAATAATACTCGTAATACAAAAAAATTATGGATAATTCTACAATGGTAATCATATGTTAAGAAAGAATCAATTGTTGTTTTTAATTAATTCAAAGTAAAACTTGTAAGAAAACCGGTAAAAAAATTACTTTTGTTTATCTTATATACGTCCTTCAAGATTTACTCACTCCAAATCTATTTGTTTCCATAGAAGAAGTGGTGCCTACTGCAAAGAGTTTTGCCCCATTTCGCTGAAAGTTACCCAAAGCCATTAAGAAATTCAGAACAATCAACACTTATCGTTGGGTAATTTTAAACTTATCTTAAATTAGGATTCAAGTTTCTTACTGCTATAGCACCAAATCTCTGCAACAATGAAAATGATGTTCCAAACAGAGCAACCTACGAAAAATACAACCAATCATCAAATTTATGACTTCATTGTTCAAGAAATCAGATGTTTCAGAAAAAAAAACTCCGTAAAAAGAAAGAGTAACATTTATTGAAAAATAGTTACCTAGAATGCATTTTCAGGACAATTGTAGAAAAACTTAGTAAGAGTTGCAGTATTTAGTGCAATAGGAGGTCGGAGAGATACAGTAGGGGCGTAAAGGTACATGAGCATAAATCTGCAATAATGGCCATTACCTAAGCACAATAAAACATAATATAAGGTTGAGACTAAAGTAATGAACCACAAATCCCCAATGCTCTACTTTTATTATTCAGATATTTCTTTGTGGTAAGCTACATTGTTCAATACATACCAGCCTTATACTCCCTCTGTCCAAAAAAGAACTTCCCGGTTTGACCCGGCACGCAAATTTATGTGTGATAAAAATTGTATTGACTTTCCCCTTATACCCCTCAACCTAGTTGCCCTCTCCACCGTCACAAGCCATCTACCGGTGTTGCCAACGCCGGCGGCGGTTCACCGACCGACTGTTCTTCGGCACCACTGCCGATGTTCTTGTCATCGCCCCTCCCCCACCCCCACCGTCGCAGACCTTACGCTGTCATAGATCTATTCCAGGTCTTCTCGTTGAAGACAGTCATTGAACACAACCCGCAAGCCCTCCTCGCAGATCTGTTCTAGGACTTCTCGTTGAAGGCAACCACCCCCCGCCATCACAACCTTCTGTCATCGCAAATCTATTTTAGGACTTGTTGATTTCCCTGCAGATCTGAAGAAAAAAAGACTTTTGTCAAATTTTGTCTTTGTACACTTCTAGATCTGGTCAAATTTGAGAGCTCTTTCCAAATCGTGGGTGAAATCGGAAGGGGGAGGGAGAATGAATAAAAAAGAAGAAGAAGAAGAAGAAGAAGAAGAAGAAAATTGGTGTGGTATGAACAAATTGAAAGGAGTGGAGTGGATTAGGGGAAGGAGAATGAAAGAAAGAAAGAAGAAAAAGAGATGAGTGGCTTGACGCCTGGACGGAAGAAGAAGAAGAAAAAAAAGAATGGGCAGATCGGAGAAAGAAGAAAAGGAAAAGAAGTGGGTGGCTTGGATGGTTGAGGGTAGTTTAGTCATTTTAACATAAAAAAGTTACCAAATAAGGAAATGAGAAGTTTATTTGTGGACATCCCAAATAGGAAAGTGGGAAGTTCTTTTATGGACGGAGGGAGTATCACACATATGCAGGGGCATATGAACTCATTTGTTCCAGAAATTCAGTTCCATAAGTAAAAACATAATTAAGACTAAAACATGTTCCATTTACAAAAATAGGACATTCAATCAATGTTTTATACCAAAATACGAATTATAATGCCGAATAATGCAAAAACATATTCCACAAAAACACTGTAAAATACCAACAAAATGCCAAATTAAGGCATTTCACGGTTCCAACACTCCTGTTTAGGGTGTAAAACATAGATCTTATTTTGATATAAGTTCCATATTTTAATCTTATTTAAGTAGATTTATTTGAGAAAAATGAGTAGAGGAATGATCATATAAATAAGATTTGTGGTCTCCCTTCAGGTTAATCCAACTTTTGTTATTCAAAAAAAGACACTTTGCCTTCTCTGTCATCCATCAAATTTGAAAATGTATGCATACTTGCACACACCCCCTAAAAGATGATTGGCCTCCAAAAAAATCATTTAAAAGTAACAATAGTATTTCTAATGAAGCTTTTTCAAATTGAGAACAAATATTTGCAGCAATCTTACCCCACAAATAGCTCGACAATTGATTCAGTTTTGATCTGAGTTATGCTCTCGTGGTTCTCAAGGGTTTTGCTGACAAAAGAAACCATCTCAAGACATTCAACCCAGTCATCATCCCTTAAAACAATATTGACTAACCCAAATGATGTCCATTCTGGTGATTTCATAGTCATCTCCAAAATCCGTGGCCTGTGGGGTGGGTTTGAAACACTTGATAAATGGGTAAGTGGAGCATTTGCAGGACATACTGCAGTTTGTTTGAAAGACGAGCATGGAAAACTTTGGGCCGATGAAAATGTAAGCTGAAAAATGTTTTCCATTTATCACTCTCAATGTTTTCTTTTTAACAAAAGTGTGGATTTTTGAGTTTTGCAGGTTTTCTGTGCAGGAGTATAAGAAATTCTGCAATCTACCCATTAAAGAAGCAGACATTGGGCTTGCAGAAAGTAGAAAGATTGGGGAACTAAACCATACCTTCAAACACCATCTTTATTCTTTGGCTGCTTATATGTTGGATGTCTTGCCTGCTATACCTGAAACTATTCCAGTCATACATATTGTGCAACTCAACTTCAGAAAACAAAATAAATAGGGATTAAGACATACCTGATTCCCAAATACGCAACATACTTGTGGCATAGGCAGAGTCTGGAGAGACGATTGTAGAGGCCTATGCAATTCTGTTCCCAGGGGAGTATGGAAACCCTACAGTCAAATCGAGAATGAAGACTTCGAAACCGTTTGAAAATAAATGAACTTGTCTTTTGCCTTAGCCAAAATGTCGTGATAGATTATGTAACTGTAAGTAGAACGGACGGCTAGATTTCTTCAATTGCGGTAAAATTGGAATGTTGGATTGAGCAAAAAGTGGACTTCAATTACAATTCTACTTTTATATATATAATAGAAATTTAAAAATGATTTCAAGAGAATTAAATAGCACTTTAAACAATGAACTATCTACAAACACAGACCAAATGTATTACACTTCTATCAACAAACCCTCTTGAGCAAAGGAAAAAATTACTCCATATGTCCCAAATTCATCTTCCCACCCACTTCCCAAGGTAGGATATTTCAAAATCATCTTTTCATTTCCTTTCACTCAATCTCTATGCCATTTTTTACATGGGAGATGATTTTGAGATGGAGTAGCAATTGAAAACTGAAACTAATGCAACAGGTTTAAATTGTTTGTTAACAAAAATTATGTTTGGTACAAAACAGAAAATGTTAAGAAAAATATGATGCTTGACAGGTTAAGGAATACCTTACCCCACACTTTGGTGAATAACTTTTCATTGCTTATAATTGGTGCTTGACAGGTTAAGGAATACCTTACCCCACACTTTGGTGAATAACTTTTCATTGCTTATAACGTTTTTAGCATCTTTGCTTATAGTTTTTTAAATAAATGTTTAAAAAAGGTGCTAAATTGGCTGCAAGTAAACACAAATTAAAAATTACATTTAAAAAAATGGAGTGTGTTACAAACTGCACCAGCGCTATTTCACAGATCTGATCTTAAAAATTTGAGCCTATTAGAAACAGAAAAAATCAGTGTCTAACCGTCTAAAAATACGGAATCTAAAGTAAATATAGTAATTAAGTTCGGCATCATCTGAAAAACAGAAAAACGCATATGAATGGAAATATTGAAAACATGAACATTACTCATATCTCAGCATATGAAGATGCATAAACACTCTTAAAGGATAGTATATTGCCGAAATTTGGAGAAACAACTTTAATTTCTATTCTTTTTCTCATCGCACAACACAAGGCATTTTTCATAAGTTGATATTTAGAATTTGGAGATTTTTTTTTCTTTTTAAAAAAAAGATAAATTGCAAGTATTAAAGAATCAAAGGCCAATCACACAACAAACACATAAATACTGACCTCATCAAATTCATTTCCTAGCAGCATTTAACCAAATTTGCCAATGAAAAATTGTAAAGCTAATGTGCAAACATTTGATAGAATAGAAAGAAAAAACAAGTACTTACAAGCCATTCCCGATGATACTTTAATGTTGGAAGGGAGCAGACATAGTTGTGCTTTTTATAAGTTTCGTGAAGTCCAAGAGCCTGTCATCGAAAGAAGTTCTGAATTGGATGCAAGTAAACAGATATTTTGAAAAATATGTAGATAGTCATGGAAGTCAAGTTAATATGTCGCAGATTTTTTAAAATAAAAAGTATTTCATATCATATTTTCTACCAATTCAGCATCTAAAATTCAAAAGAAAATTGAATCAGTATGAATATTCAACCAAAACAGTGTAGATGTTAAACCCAAATTTCAAAATTGAAGTAAATTGTCTAAAAAATTTAAAAACTCAACTTCGGAAAAGCAAAATTTTAAAGAAGAAGATCTACATACAGACTTCGCTGATGCTAGACACCGAATATATCCTTAATCTTAAGACCAGGACGTTGTTATCGCTAGGTGTGCCGCCATCCTCTTCTTCATCCAACGATGGGTTTTTTGTCCGCGATTGGGTCAGAGGCGCGCTTCCCGGCTAAAAGATCTGCATCCCTTGTGGTCAGGGGAGCAGGATACCGATTGAGGTCGGCAGTTGAATATACTATGAGAAGTTTTTAATCACTACCTCTTCCTAACAACATGCTTTCCTTTCTCCGTCACAAAATAGCCTCATTTCCTTTTTGGTAATGAATATAGTTCTACCATTCTCTCCCTCTTTCAAATCAATTCCAATATAAATTTCTTATTCTATCAAATCAGACTTTTAATTTGGGACTAAGGGAGTAGGTTAAATAGATTCAGTAATTTGTAAGGACAATGATGAATTTGCCTTCAAAACAAGCCATTAAAAATGGTATTCACCATCTATTCGAAATGTATCCATCCAAATCCATTTAGAGCACCTCTTGTAGGAGAAATGGACAAATTTGTTCAAAATCATTTCTACATCAAAAAAAATTAAAGACCTAGTCCTCAGCACAAACAGAAAACAACTTGTCTTACCAATTGATTGGGTTTTTCTGCATGCTTTCCAATTGTAGGAACGCTACACATCATCAAGAATGATGGCCACGAGAAACTACATAAGCACAAAAAATAGAATATAAATAAAAATGGTTACAATTTAACACTATCTCCCAAAAATATGAAAAAAGAAAATATTACTAACAAGTAACGCTACAAGTTTGATTGGTTAAAGAGATATATTTCAAATAACATAAACATTGTGCAGTTCAGAACAACATGAAAGTTCAACCTCTCAACATGGCTCATATCAGTGTCCCTGTCTTCCAAATAAAAGCCCGCTTCTTCAAGTATTTGCACAATTTTCTCTTGTGGCATCTGCATCAAGTCGAAGAGGCAATTCTGCTACATCAAAATATGCATGTCGTAGGAAAATACATATATAAGATCATTTGGATTCACAATCTTGATTCCATGACTATTCTCCATTGACAAAAAAAAACATGAAAGTTGGAAACTAACTGTGAACACGAACTTCATGAAATGGTTCTCGCTCCCTTCAATTCAGGGTATCTTAATAAAGCATGCATATCACCTCAAAGAAAAAATAAAGTAAAAAAACACATGCTCCCTTCATTCTAAAATGAATTCCTATTCACTATTTACAAGGCCAAACTTTATACACTTTGCCTATTCCCATTACTCGTTTGATTAATTAATATAGTCACGTCACATCTTGCTTTGTAGAACATCCGGTGTGATTTTTAAATTTTAAAAAATTATGTTTACCCTACATCCAGTTTTCAGGCATAAAACTGCTTGGAAATATCATCTTGGAACAGACAATACTTTAGCATATACATTAACGGGATGATGACAAATTTTTTCCTCTAATAATCCTTGTCATGTGCAAGTTATATGAGGAAGTATTCCGACTCAAGGTTTAAATAATGTAACTCTTAATCACAAACACACACACACACAGGCGATAAGTTCCAAGAAGGAAGAAAGAAATGTGTTTTAGTTCTATATTCAATAATAATCACAATATATTACAATTGCCTTCCTACGTAGAGAGGCTTATTGATACGGACCCTGATGCGGGTCAGATTGGGTCGGGTTTTAATCAGCTCCTGGGGGTTTTAATTAACACAGTTAATTAGGGAAGTGGAGTAGGGCCGAAGTGGATTTCGTGGGGAAGTGGGGCTGAATATTAGGGATAGTAACTGCCATTAATTTACATTTAAATATTCTATTCCCTGTTTGGTTGGAAAGAGGTCTTGATCATGTTTGAATAGTTGTCTTTTGTATTTGGGGAGTTAATCCTTCTCGAATTGGATTACAATCTGCAGCCATAGTTATCAATTCCATCTTTTATTTCCTTTTGATTTTCTAGGTTCTATCTATCACTTATATTCCTAAACATAAAAGGAACTAGTTGAGAAAAAAACTCTTAACAGTACTCCGTACTTAACTGTGAACTAAATACTACTTGAAAAGAAAGGAATAACACTAGTAAACTACTACTGCTGCTGCTGATATCGGAATGAACATGAGCAACACACAATAAAAAAAATACGTATACGAAGAAATCCAAAGTCTAAAGCCATAGACATGGAGACATATAGTCTTATGCGAAACATCTACCACTAGAAGGTTTGACTTCTAAAACAGTTCCTTGGTTGAGTTGGTATTGTGTACCAAGCAAGTTATCTGTTCGATCTAGACAACTATAGTCTTACTTGTACTCGTTGTGTTTTAAATTGTTTGAACTATTTTAGCATTTCTTTTTCTTTTATTATCCTTAAAAGGTACCAAACTTATATTGAAAATCATCTCATGTACAAACCTGTGTTTTTAAATAGCTCTCGATGGTTTTGCCAGCCCTTTCAAAAATTTCAAGCAATAGCAGTGCCGATATCATCAGATTCTGTTTTTCCTTGCAGCAACTCAATAACTTACCATTTTCACAATGAAATTCCAGTTTCACTTCAAGAGCACTCAGTTGTCCTAGCTCGAAAACGATGAACTCCCGGAGAGACATGCAATGATCTAGATTTCTACAATCCTTTTCATTCAATGAAGAGGAGTTCTTAACCAATGATGCAGAAGTAACCTTATCCCGGGCCACCAAAAGTAAGACAGCCAGCTCAACAAGCCTTCCATGCTTTGCATAGTAATAAATTTCTTCACCGAGTTCCTCTGTCTTCTCAGCGAGCAATCTCACGCATTCCAACTTTGATCTCTGATTTTAAAGGTATGCATAAACACTAGGAATTAGCCTCATAGCGAAACACGTTAAGATAAGAGGGAAAAATGCATATTCATTGCTTCTAAATTAGGAACAAACCAGCTGTGGAAGGCAGAGAGTGATAAGCATCTTGTAAAGTGATTGTTCTGGAGTCAGAACGTTAAAATAAATCATGTATTTGCTGCAGTATATGAAATGGTTAAAACATGCATTAGATCATAGACAGTAGAAAAGAAGCCAAAACAGGAGCACCGGAGTGTTCCTACTTTCAGTTCTACCAAGCGGTTCAGCTGAGTCTCTAACCCTCCTCTTTCTTTATCGATGTATCTGATTTCAAGGTTGGCTAGGCATCTGAGCTCGAAAACCAATGCGCGCTCAGGTTTCTACCAAAACAGCGTTGCCATTAGGAAAATCATTGACGATTTCATCGCCATGCCATCATCTAAACACCCATTTCCTGCTCTACCCATGTCTGAAAAGCATAAAGCTGTTTATCTCTCTAAGGTTGACCTCTATGCTCTCCTTAAGCAGACACCAGGACACCTCAAAGATTTAGTCTTTAAATTTCTGACAGAAAAGAATGTTATGGTCGACTACAATGACTATACTCATAGGCTTGAGTCGTCGGTGTTGGTACAATACCCACCGAAGTGCTTCTTTGAACCTATTAGTGATGACTATGAGGTGGTTTTGTACAGATGCGTCTGCCAAAGAGAGCGGCTCCAGTGTTTTTTTTATAGGGGCTGTTATTCTGAATCATGTTGATGGCATGGGATGGATGGAACAGAACTTATCCCAGCAGATTACGGCGAAGAACATACATGAAGCCGAATCTTTGGCCTCCAGTCTCTAATGAACCAAAACATGAACAACTTAAAAGTTCTACATTTGTCTGATTCCGAGACTCACATTCGACGTCTTAAGAAGTTTGCAGTTACTGCCGATTTAGCACTTTTTACGTTCTGGAGGTAATTTATATATGAACACTTATAGTTCTTTTGAGGATGCTCCTTTTGTATCATTATAACTGTACTCGTATTTATTTAACGTGTTTACTTGTTATTTGTGCAGTGACATTTTCGATATTATGCGGCAGTTCCGACACTTGACGTGCGAAGCCATCTACCGGCAGGGCAATTTGGCTCATTACCCGGCGAATGTACATAGGTTGGAGGCTAATTTAGGCCTCGATGGTGAAGATGGCAATCTTATTAGAAAACGGGATATCTTAAAGCATACCTATGAGGGTTTAGTTGGTGAATTTCTAAGAGGAGATCCGTATTTTGTTTTCAGGTATAAGGGTATTGATCCGCTCATCCCCCCAACAAAAGGAGAAGCGGTTAGTGTTAAAACGATTTTTGATTACTATGAAATTTTGGAATGATGATCTATATGCTAATATCTTTCTATCCCAACGGTAGGTTTCATATAAAAATAATCCGAATGAGAGAAATCAATATTATACTAGTATTGTAAACATCAAGTGTTACACACACATATTTGTATGTGTGTGTATGCCACAATTTTCTTTGCGCATAGTGTTCCTCATAGAAGCCGTGCTTAATGATACTGATAGGTGTTATCCTTAAATTGTTCTTTCTCAGGATCATACACGATTTGTGGAAGTGTGGATTGCGTAATTGTTCAAATCGGACGCGCTGATGATCGAGATAGATTCTTAGAAAGGCTTACGACACCAACCGACCCACGGGATGGGAAATCTTGGAGATTTCCCATAGAACCTTTAAGAAGTTTCATTATCCTTCATTCTGTGAAATGCATAACCTCAGTCGTGCATTAGATCATAGACAGTAGAAAAGAAGCCAAAACAGGGAGTATAATGCCATGACATGATCACTTAAAGAAACATAGATTAGGGATTTAATAAACAAGCACAATACAAGTAAATTGGTGTTTTGACTTTAATTAAATGCCAGGAATAAGACAACAACCTTAACAAATGGAGTGAATAATTAAGAGGAAGCATCACACTAACTGTGAGCCTAACATCTGTTGGAGCTCCTTTTTCAAGGAATAATTTAACCAATTCAGGACAAGAAGCCAAAGTTGCCAAACACAGTGGAGTCAAACCCATCTTATCAACTTCATAAAAATCAATGTGATGCACGACTGAGGTTATGCATTTCACAGAATGAAGGATAATGAAACTTCTTAAAGGTTCTATGGGAAATCTCCAAGATTTCCCATCCCGTGGGTCGGTGGGTGTCGTAAGCCTTTCTAAGAATCTATCTCGATCATCAGCGCGTCCGATTTGAACAATTACGCAATCCACACTTCCACAACTGGATGAGGGAGAACATCGTGTATGATCCTGAGAAAGAACAATTTAAGGATAACACCTATCAGTATCATTAAGCACGGCTTCTATGAGGAACACTATGCGCAAAGAAAATTGTGGCATACACACACATACAAAAATGTGTGTGTAACACTTGATAATTACAATACTAGTATACTATTTATTTCTCTCACTCGGATTATTTTTATATGAAACCCACCATTGGGATAGAAAGATATTAGCATATAGATCATCATTCCAAAATTTCATAGTAATCAAAAATCGTTTTAACACTAACTGCTCCTTCTTTTGTTGGGGGATGAGCGGATCAATACCCTTATACCTGAAAACAATATACGGATCTCCTCTTAGAAATTCACCAACTAAACCCTCATAGGTATTCTTTAAGATATCCCGTTTTCTAATAAGATTGCCATCTGCACCATCGAGGCCTAAATTAGCCTCCAACCTATGTACATTCGCCGGGTAATGAGCCAAATTGCCCTCCCGGTAGATGGCTTCGCACGTCAAGTGTCGGAACTGCCGCATAATATCGAAAATGTCACTGCACAAATAACAAGTAAACACGTTAAATAAATACGAGTACAGTTATAACGATACAAAAGGAGCATCCTCAAAAGAACTATAAGTATTCATATATAAATTACCTCCAGAACGTAAAAAGTGCTAAATCGGCAGTAACTGCAAACTTCTTAAGACGTCGAATGTGAGTCTCGGAATCAGACAAATGTAGAACTTTTAAGTTGTTCATGTTTTGGTTCATTAGAGACTGGAGGCTAAAGATTCGGCTTCATGTATGTTCTTCGCCGTAATCTGCTGGGATAAGTTCTGTTCCATCCATCCCATGCCATCAACATGATTCAGAATAACAGCCCCTGTAAAAAAAAACACTGGAGCCGCTCTCTTTGGCAGACGCATCTGTACAAAACCACCTCATAGTCATCACTAATAGGTTCAAAGAAGCACTTCGGTGGGAATTGTACCAACACCGACGACTCAAGCCTATGAGTATAGTCATTGTATTCGACCATAACATTCTTTTCTGTCAGAAATTTAAAGACTAAATCTTTGAGGTGTCCTGGTGTCTGCTTAAGGAGAGCATAGAGGTCAACCTTAGAGAGATAAACAGCTTTATGCTTTTCAGACGGGGGGTAGAGCAGGAAATGGGTGTTTAGATGATGGCATGGCGATGAAATCGTCAATGATTTTCCTAATGGCAACGCTGTTTTGGTAGAAATCTGAGCGCGCATTGGTTTTCGAGCTCAGATGCCTAGCATAGTTTGTAAGGCGTCGCCTAGGCGATAAGGCGCTGTCACTGGGACGCCTTGTTTGCTCGCCTCGCCTAGAAAACCTTAAGGCGATCAGGCGCTCGCCTAGGCGTCGCCTTACCTCACTTTACCTCGCCTTGATTTGCCTTACCTCGCCTTGATGCCTTGGGCCCTTTTAAAATTTTGAAAAAACCCATTTTTTTAGTGCAGCCCATTTTCTTTTAGTGCAGCCTAATAGACTTTAACTTATCTTCTCTCTCTCTCGGTGTTCTTTGTCTCAATCAAGCTTCCTTAAAATGTATAAGACCTGTATATATGTGTGTGTGTGTATTTGTCGCCTAGTCGTCGCCTAGGCGTGCGCCTGGTCGCCTAGGCGATATGAAGGTACATTGGCGCCTTGCCTCGCCTTGGCGCCTTACAAACTATGATGCCTAGCCAACCTTGAAATCAAATACATCGATAAAGAAAGAGGAGGGTTAGAGACTCAGCTGAACCGCTTGGTAGAACTGAAAGCAGGAAAACTCTGGTGCTCGTGGCCGGCCTAAACCCTCCTACGCCCGACCGCCCGTCAATCTCTCCCCTTTCTAATTTACTGGTAGGGGTAAACCGTAATGGAACACCCAAAATTTTACTGAGTACTCTAAGTACATTTTTGGGCTTCTCCATTTACAATGAGACCTGTTAATCGGGTCAATCGGTTAGGTTCTGATTCGATTATTATTATTACTAGTACTTCACCCGCACGGAAAAGTACATTTCTAAATAAAATGCAAAAGTTATAGAAATGTAAATATTATTAACATGAAAAACAAATACCTTAGTAATTAAGTTGGTATAGTTTTGACTTCTATTTATCTAATTATTAAGGTCTTAGACAAACGTGTTATGGAGACATATGTATGAACAAATCGTTTAAAATATTAGAATGAGTAAATTAAGATCGAGGAATATAAGAGTCTGGCCCCAATTATAAATTTGGAATTACCGATATTGAAAAGGGGACATTATAATAAAAATAAGTTGAATTTCATAAAACTCAAATATTCATAAAAACCTCTTTATACACAACAATCGTAGTCTCCCAATCTGGTTTATCTTGATCGTTAAATATCAAAATCCTCAACCCCTAAGGACTTCTAACTGAAAAAAAGAACTTCAAACAAAACATATGTCCAAAAAAATAATACTCGTTTTACAAAAAAATTATGGATAATTCTAGAAAAGTCTTTAAGAGTAAAAAAGTGTTGTTGGAATCAACTTGTAAGAGAAAAATGTTGTAAGCCATGTACTTCTTTCTTTAAAAGGAAATAAGAGAAGTGTGAAGTTCATTTTGGAACGTATTAAAAAAGAAAGAAAGTGTGGATTTAATTGCATAACGAAGGGAGCATATGTGTTTCTATAGAGAGAGAGAAGGGTTGATAATACAACAATTTTTACAACAATCATATCTTTCACTTTGATTATTTTTTCCACCACATAATTGAAATCTAATGACACATAGATCAAGCTCATAAAATTTTAGAACACTCAAAAATCATTTTATACCCCATCTACTAGAACAAAGTTAACACAATATCTAGTTCTAAATCCTGTTAATATATAAGTGGTGTGATTTAATAAGAAATGATTTTAGATTCTTTTTTAAATTTTAAGATGATTAGTTGTGCTAATAACTTTCAACCCATGGTAGATTTTGAATTAAAATAAGCGAAGTGAAAGATAGGATTGTTGCACGAACGTGTCGTAACAATAACCCTCCATTTTTTCAACTCTTCTACAGGAGGAACATCTCTCACTCGAAGTGTTTTTCTACAAACCAACCATTTGATTAAAAGATAATGACGTGTAAATCATCTTCCTAGAATTTTATAAAACTCCCAAATAAATTCACCATTAAAACATAGTTTAAAAAGTCAATATAATACTGTATTTCATGTTGGAACATGTGAAGTCTTCAAAAAATGTAAGAAGTTATACCCTGTATGAGTTTGCAAGAGGATGATTTTGGATTGCTATAAAATTTTAGTAACTTTTGATCCAACTGCGGGGTTTGTATGAAAACAATTGGATTGATACGTATAAATACTGTAGAACAGTAAGTATTCTCATTTTAGCCCGCCTTGGGCAGGGGCACACACACACATGACCTCAACGCCCTAAATTACTGCTAGTAATAATTAAATACTGTAATGGACTATTAACATGGCTACAACAACAACCTTGTCCCTACTCGAAAGTAGAGAGGGGCATAGTTTGTAAGGCGGTAAGGCGAGGCGAGGCGCCAATATACCTTCATACTGCCTAGGCGACTAGGCAGACGCCTAGGCGACCTATATATATATATATATATATATATATATATATATATATATATATAGGGGCCGGTTCCCGTGAGAATGCACCTTGGGGAGAGAAATGAGAATAAAATCTAGCCGTCGGATCTGATGCATCGTGCGGCTCAGATTGCATCATGCGCTCAGATTTTGAGATAGTGCATTTTCGAAGGTTTATGATGCATTTCGACGTGATGCATTTTCGCACCATTTTGGTGCATCTAATTTTGATGAAATCTTGACCCTTAGATCTCACAATCTAAAGCGCCAGATTCATTCTCATTTCTCTCCTAAGATTGCATTCTCACCAGAACCAATATATATATATATATAGACACACACACACATATGGCACAACATACCACAATATTATAAATAATAGTCCACACATAATCTGAAAAAGAAAGAAGGGTTCACAAACATTTAGAAGAAAGTGAGTCGGCAGATCTAGAATGGGAAGAGGCTCTTGATCGAGCCTAGAGATAATTTAAGTTAAATCTTCTTAAACTCTTTAAAATAGACTTGCAAAATACTTGGGCTGCACCAAAAGAAAATGGGCTACACTAAAAGGATGGGCTGCACTAAAAAAATTGGGCTTTTCATAAATTTGAAGTGACCAAAGGTGTCAAGGCGAGAAAGGCGACATAAGGCGACGCCTAGGCGAGCGCCTGACCGCCTTAGGGTTTTCTGGGCGAGGCGAGCAACCAAGGCGAGCAAAACATAACACCTTATCGCCTAGGCGACGCCTTACTAACTATGGAGAGGGGGGACCTTGAGCTCAATGAGCTCAAACACCAACAGACAAACATGCTTTCAAAAAAACAAAAATATATAAAATTTTCAAACTCCAGACAATCAAAATCAAGGCTTTTCCTATTCTTTTTATTATCTCTCACCATCTGAAATCATTCCTTCCAAAGCTAGCTAAAAAACCATTTTTAAGGAGCTTAGCAGGGAGCAACTAACTATGAACAACCAAATCCCAGTAAAATTGGAGAAAGAAAGAAAGAAAAAAATACATGATTCGGCTTTTTTAAAAAGCAATAAACTTTTCAGCAGCCATTGATGGAGACCCAAAACAGGAAATTGAACAATTCAGTGAACAATCACACAAAAGATTCAAAACCCAGATGCCAAAATTCAATCTTTGCAAAGACAGATCCTGGACTATTAACATGGCTGTCCACAAATAAGTAAAAGAATGACTAATTCCTCCCATCCTTGTTTAGTTTTGAAACATAACAAAACACCAGATGCCAAAATTCAATCTTTGCAAAGACAGATCCCGGACAATTAACATGGCTATCCACAAATAAAATTCCTCCAATCCTTGTTTAATTTTGAAACATAACAACAACAATGCAATAAAACAACTAAAGAAATAAAGAAACCTGAGACAAAAACCATACAATGATGAATTCTTCGGGCTCGTAAATAGAACTCTCTTCTTCATAACTTTCCAAATGATCATCTTCGTCGAATCTTTCCATTCAAAGATACAGCACAAATGAAATCATTAGAAGAAGAAAAGAAGAAGAAGAAGATGATGATGATGATAAAATTATTGAATCAAAACCTCGCTAAAAAGGCTTTCAATTTCCCTAGAGCTTTTCTTTTGAGGGTGTGGGCGACGGAATTCAACATTGGAGCAGGTTTTTTGTTCGTAGAAAGACTTGTTTTCCGGATCGAAGAGATCGATTGTTCATTTGTTCGTGAATCAGAGAACGCTTAGGCGGTTGAAGTTGCCATCGCTTAAACCCTAGAGGCTAGAGACTATCTTATTGTGGACGATTTCCTATGGCTAGAGAACTGAGAATGGCATATACTCCCTCCCACCGTCCCACTCTTTTTGTTCACTTTCATTTTTGCACACCATCCAATGCACTTCTTTAATCCATTTTATCTTGTAATTTGTATATTAAAAAATTATAAAAATTATACGGAGTATATTAATAATCTATATGTTAAGACAAATCAAACAAGATCTCACATGACTATTTTTAGACTTACACATTGAGAGAATTTGATGAGTCAAAGTGCTTAGATTAACAGTTCTAAAAGTCAAAACTGGACAAAAAGAGTGGGACGGAGGGAATATTGATTAATTAAATTTAATCTGGTCTGATTTGATTTGATTATAGTTATATTTAAAGTTATTTATGATTAGATATGACCTTGTCTGATCTAATTTTAATAAGAATAAGTAATAAGTTGAACGGACTCAAATAATCAGTAAAACTCTTTTTAGCAAGACAGGAAAATAGAAGTCAAAGGGAAAATGAGTCTGGTCAAGCGGAAAACGAAGTCTCATTTCTGGAATTTGACTTGCGAAAAAAAACTCCGAAAGACAATTTTAGTTTCTTCTTCCCGAACTCTTCTCTTCTTTCTTCATCGCCTCCTTTCTTCTCTTCCTCCGAACCTATCCTTTTTCTTTCTTCATCCTTTCTTCTCCCTCTCTTCCTCGCAACCCCCTCTTCCCCCTTTTTCTTCTTTCGTTCATGCATCTGCATCTTCATCCGTTGCTCCAAGCCTTCATCGCAAGCATTCTTTCCAAACAATTACTGTCTGGTACTCCAAATTTTGTGGTAAGAACTTGCGAGTCCCATCGTTTTTCAAAATATAGCCCGGGGTACCTTAAAATATCCAAAAAACTAACTCTCGTGTGACTTTCCATTCATCCCTCTGTCATACCCACTTGCTCCGTTATCTATTCGTCTTCTTCTTCCCAAAAATTGCTACTTGGTACCCTCAATTTTGTGGCAAGAACTTTCGGGTCTAATCGTTTTTAAAAATATACTCCGATGTACCTTAAAATATCCAAAAAATTACTCCGGATGGATTTTCCTTTTTTCCTTCTTACTACTACTACGGAGTATATTTTAAAAAAATAGTGGAACCCAGAAGTTCTTACCACAAAATTGAGGGTACCCAGCATCAGTTTTTTAGAAAAAAGAATATGAAAAGATAACAGAGCAAGTGGGTATGATGGAGGGATGGACGGAAAGTCCCTCCAGAGTTAGTTTTTGGATACTTTAAGGTACCCCGAATTATGTTTTGAAAAACGATAAAACCGAGAGTTCTTACCACAAAACTGAGGATACTCATCATCTATTTTTGCATTATTTCGCTGGTAAATGTAATTTTTCATATTTTTCTTAATTTTTCATGGAATTAAGATCTGGATTTCTTTGTTCATCGCAGCCCTTATTTCTTTACTTTCATGTCTCAGTTTTCTTTAAAACCTAATGATTTTTTTATTATTGTGATGAATCGCTAATATTTTCGCTTAGGCTATTGGACAGTCCAAGGTCCAAATATGGGCCTTGTAAAAGTGAAAGAATAAAAATATAGGAGTAATAAGTAATGTGAGATGGACGGCACACAGTAATATAACTCAAACCGATGTCCTCTCCCCTAGACCGTCCGTCTGTGGATCGGAATATTCTCAAGGATCTCTTTTACTAATCACTATTATATGTTCTCTCTTCATTTATAAGATGATCTTCTCAAAGGCACGGGCCTCTCTCTTTTATAGGAGGCCTCCCCAACTACCATCATATCAATATACCTCCGGTGATTGGGGGAGGATAAGGGAGATCTCCTTCTCCTACCCAGAAGGCTTCCTCCACTCCAAGCTAATGGCTTATGGACAAGTCTATTATTGGACAAATATCCTCTATCACCGCTGTCTCAGATAATGACAGGAAAATATTTGTCCATCTCTTAAGGGAGACGCAACCCTAATTCTATAAGGGTGAGTCGTGTCTTTCTATGGTGACCCGGTCTTCTATGGGCTGTTGCTTAACTCCTGCATCAACCCAATCTTCCCAAGTCCCATCTTAGCACTCCCCGACCCGATCCTTCTTTAACTGGATCAGGCTCGGGTACCGGGTACTGCCTCATTCCAGCCCCATCTATCTTACCATAATTGGGCCGGATCATCTAAGGTTATGAACCCTAACTTGGGCCTCGGGTATATTTTAGACCCAACCCATCTAATAATGTCTTGGTGGGCCAGGTTCCAATCACATATCCTTTTTTTAAAAGTCAAAAATAAAAAAATGGCTTTTGTACATCTATCTTTCTCGTGTTCGGTCTATATACCTATGAAGGATTCGGTTTACTAGGAATGCAAGGGGTCCATTTTGTTGGTATTAAATTGATGGCGGTGATCCACCTCTGCGCTGGTCTCAGTGAGAATGATCCACCCCACATTAGGGTGGTTGTAATGGTAGGTTTTTGTGTAAGTTTAAACCCATAAAGCTAGCTTTATCCATTACAAGGTGATGAAATGACAAAAATTTGTAAAGTTGGCTTTTAAACTTAAGAGTTGGGTTTATGGGGGAAAAATGGTCCCTACTATCATATCTCTCCTACTTTTTCATCCTTTTATTTATTTTAATTAAAAATAAATATTTTGTTAAAGTTGCAGTTGTAGGTTTATTGTTATAGGAGTAGGTTTAAAAAAGTTGGTGGACTAAAACTATTGATGTGGCGCTCACGTGGCGATATTAAAGCTGCTTTTTTGGGTTTACGATTATAACCACCCTTAATTGACAGAGGTATGGAAGGCTAGGGACCCACCCTTAATGGCCCTCTCATTAATGAAGGCCCCACCAACGGTCCTTTCATTACTGAATAGTCCAGCGATCCCTCCCTTGGTCAAAGTGGATCGCACTCCAATGTTATTTCTCCTTAGGGCATTACTAATGGGGAGGAATGAAGGGGGGAATAGGATGATGTGGAGGGGGAATGAAGAGAAGCATGATTAGAAAGGAGAGGGGAATAGAGTAGAGAGGTGAGGAGGGGGGAATAATATTCCCCTAGAGAGAGAAAATGTCTGATTGACCAATTACTTTTTTATTATTTTTTAATTTTTTTTATACAAATGAGGAGATGACATGTGGGAAAAAATAATGAAAGAAGTAGGGGAATGGTTAGAGAAAGGTGGGAAAAGTTGAAGGAAAAAGTGACGTGTCATTGGAAATAGATGATGTAGGAGTAGAATATAGGGGAATGAGTAATGTTGCTCTTAGGATGCATTGCTCTTCTCGAAAACTTTTTCTCTCATTTATCCTGTAGAATTTAGTCGTCCCCTTCAATGATTTCTCACGAATTGAGGAGCCCATGTGGCTCGCTAAAAGAGATTGGCTCGCTGCCAATGGATAACCATTCATAGGGTTCCTTATATTCTCTGCGGGCCTCCCCTTAATGATTATATTTGACTGCCTCCCCAACTTGTCTTCTTCATTTTCAATTGATTAATTCATCTTCAAAGCATCTTTTGGCGTGTAATATGATCAACAAATGGTCCCTACTTATGTGGCCTTGTGTTTGCAAATTAGACCGGATTTGGAGGGGGCCTTCATTTTCTAAATTTTATTAACTCTCAGGGGCCTGCCATATGAGTGGCCATCTGTTGAATTTATGTGGTCCTTCTCTTTTTTCGTCTATTCTACACGTGGTTCTCTTTTAGACCGTGTTCTCATTGGATGGAGGATCAGCTAGGCTCGCTATAGCGCATTTTGCAGAAGTCATTTTCTACAAGTCACTTTCCTGGTTTCCAAACTAAGCTTAAGGGCATCTCCAAATCCCTGATCTTACACTCCGTCGAGTTTGATGGTAAGAAAATGGAGAGAAAGAAAAATTTAGGTGAGAAAACACACATTTCTATACATTTTCTATTGTTTCGAATGCAAATAAAATAGTAAGAAAACAAAATTTAATCATGGATCCCACATAAAAACGTTTCTCCCCTTCTCAAATGTAAGTTGGATCATACTACAATTTCCGGGGACACTTTATAGTCATTTATAGTTCAGATAGTTCAGAATGGAGGAAACTTTTCTTTATCATTTCAAACCATTTTCTATCAATCCAAACACCAACTTTTTTCTCTTCATTTTCTCTCCATTTTTTTCATATTATTTTCTTTTTTCTCATTTTCTCTTCCCATCCAAACAAAAGTTAAAAGTTTAATGTGGAAAAGTTTTTATTTGTTTACACTCCACTAATCTTTTTTTTATAAAACACTCCACTAATCTTAGGTCATGTTTTTTTTCAACTTATTCTTATTACTTATTATTTATTTTTATTGAAATTAGATCAAATTAGATCAGAAACAGTTTTAAATATAAATACAATCAGAACAGATCAAACCAGACTAGATCAGATCATACCAGATCAGAACTTATTCCATTTAGATAAGGTGAAGAGAACATTTAGTGTCACTCTCCATTTCTATTTTTAGAAAATAAATTGACAACATTGTCTTTATAATTAGAAATTTATATTTTGGATGTTTTATGTGGAGATGAATAGTGGGATCCAACTGGGTTGTTGTTGTTGTTATGTGGAGATGAGTCTCCTCTTGCTACCAATCTATTATGTACTATCACTGCAGTGGTTAATTTGTGGGTAGAGGGGAGATATCCGTCGAATTTGTGAACACATACATTCTAAAATTTGTGAAAATGAGTATTTTATGAAAATGGCAAATTTGATGGATATAAAACTAAAATAAAAAATATGTGACGCTCAAAATGTTCATTTTAGTTTTCCGGGTTTGTAACCATGTAAACTCAAAACATGGAAAAGATTGTACAAAAAAAGCAAAGGAATAGAGAAGCATTAATGCAAGAAGAAAGACAAACACAACATAACGAATACACAATGGGTTCGTCTCTCTTGCTGAGAGTTTTGTTCTTCTTTGACGGCTAGGGTTTTGATACTTGGGGTTCTTCTCTCTTCTCTTGGCAATGGAAAGGATGGAAAATGCAGAAGTCGATCTTGCAAATCTTTCATTGGCGGATGATGAGGAAGAGGGGCTGGTCTTCAACGGTGAAGAAGAGGTGCTGTATGCGCAAAAAGGGGACTACAGTCACTACTTGGTGGGTCGATTTCTCACAGAGCGGCCAGTCAATTTCGAAGCTATGAAGAATACGATGGCGTCTTTATGGAGACCCGAGGAAGGTATGTTGGTTAGGGATTTGGGGAATGGTCTGTATGTGTTCCAGTTTGGGGCCAAATCTGAGATGAATAGGGTGATAGATATGAGTCCGTGGTCCTATAACAACCACGCCCTATTACTGGAGGTCGGTAAAGGGGATGTAGATCCATCTGAAATCCCTCTGAATCATCTACACATTTGGGTTCAAATTCATGGTCTGAAGCGTGGTTTTTCTCGGAGAAGGTAGCACAACGCCTTGGGGAGGATATTGGGATCTTTGTGGAAACAGATCCTAAGAACTTCATAAATCCTTGGGCTTCGGTGATGAGAGTAAGGGTGAAGTTGGACGTTCGGCAGCCACTAAAGCGAGGAAAGAAATTGAAGAAGGAAGGGGGGGAGTGGTTCCTGGTTGAGTATGCTTATGAACGGCTCCCTACTTTCTGCTTTGTCTGTGGAGTCCTTGGGCATGGGGAGAGATTCTGCCCCATTGTGCTGCGGAATTGGGGGGCAAAGATTGAGAGGAACTATGGTCCGGAGATGAGAGCTTCTGGCCGAAAGATGGGCATGGGGATTGGGGCGAAGTGGTTAAGAGAGGAGCTACCTGTGCGAGGAAAAGATGGTGTGAAAGTAATGGCTTCTGATAACTCTTGGGATGGAAGACCTCATAACAGTTGTAGAATGATGAATGAAGGGTTTGTGAGCAAGAAAATGTTGGGTCAATCTAGTGTGCAGAAGGACCCCTTGATGATGGCACCAGTTGAGGGAAACACTCTGACCGAAGCTACAATGGAAGAACAAGGAGAGGATGGTCTGGTCTTCGTGGATCCAAAGAAGAGGAAGACGCTGGAAGGTGTGAATGCTAACGGAAGCTATGGAACTATCATGGACGTGGAGCCAAAAAACTTGTCGGAGGCGGGTTCTGGGTGCCAGACCCGTCGATCAGAATGAGTTGCATAAGTTGGAACTGTCGCGGGCTTGGCAACCCGCGAGCAGTGCAGACCCTTCAAGCCATTATTAGTGATGTTAAACCTTTACTTATTTTCCTTGTCGAGACACTTTGTCATGCAGTTCGTATTAATGAAATAAAAATTATGTTGGGTTATGATGGTTTCTTTTCTGTTGATGTTGTGGGTCATAGCGGGGGCTTGGCACTTTTATGGAAATTTCCTTTTCAAGTGTCTCTTTTATCTCTTTCTCGGTTCCATATTGATGTGGAGGTGGAGGAGCAAGCTCTAGGCAGGTGGAGGTGCACGGGCTTTTACGGTCATCCCAATCAAGCTCGAAGATCTGACTCCTGGAGTTTACTTAGGGACCTCGCCCGGATGAGCACCTTGCCTTGGCTCTGTTTTGGTGATTTCAACGCGATTCTTGATCAAGGAGAAAAGAAGGGTGGCCTACCTAAACCGAGCTACCTGATACAAGGCTTTAGAGAGGCTCTTGAAGATGCTGGTTTGCTCGATTTCCCACTTGGAGGTTATGGATTTACTTATGACAATGGGCGTAAAGGAGATGCTTGCGTTGAGAAAAAACTTGACCGATTTCTTACGTCAAGTTTGTGGAGGCAAAAATTCCCTTTAGCTACCTCAACAACCTTTGACTTCTCTTCTTCAGATCACCTGCCAATCTTTATGCGAATCAAAGCATGGATTCCAAGAGCACAAGCTGCCAATTCAGATTTGAGAACTCCTGGACTGGTGACCCAGGATGCCGATCCCTGGTTTTGGACTGCTGGCAGATCTGTGGAGCTGCGGAGTTGGAACATAAACTAGATTTCTGCTCGGAAAGACTATTGGCTTGGGGGAAGGAGTGGAAGGATTGCTTTGGGGCAGAGATAACTATCATGCGGAAGATTCAGTAGCACACTAGAGGAAAATGGGATGATACTAGCAGAAGACGCTACCAGCGCGCGAAAGAAAGGCTTTTTGAATTATATGCTCAGAAGGAGTCCTTCTAGAGACAACGGGCCAAGGAATTCTGGCTAAAGAATGGAGACCGTAACACAAAATTCTTCCATGCGAAGGCAACAGAGAGACATAGACTAAATAAAATCCAGAGGCTTCGAGATCAAAACGGCTCATGGCGAGAATGGGGCGGAGGACTAGCGGACTTGATTGCTGGCTATTAGGAAGACATTTTTAAGACGCATGGAGATGCTCCACTTCAACCAGTTTTGGAAAATATTCCTCATTTAATATCAACAGAGGATAATTCTAGCCTATGTATGCCATTTACAGAGTTAGAAGTTAAAGAAGCAATTTTTGCCATGCATCCTGACAAATCTCCAGGCGTGGATGGTTTCAACCCGGGTTTCTACCAAAAATTCTAGGATATTGTGGGAGGGGAAGTGGCTTCTTTTTGTCTCCAACATTTGAACATGCACATGATCCCAACGTCGGTGGGAGCAACAGAGATTGTCCTTATTCCAAAAAAGCAAAATCCTGAAGAAGTAGGTGACTTAAGACCGATTGCTCTTTGTAAAGTTCTGTATAAGATTATGAGTAAGATGATCGCTAACAGATTAAAGAAACTCCTGCCAAAGATTATCTCGCCCATGCAAAGTGGCTTTGTGGCAGGTCGGGATATCCATGATGTTTGTGCGATTGCTTATGAGGCTCTTCATCACCTCCGGAATAAGCGAAGAGGGGGAACTGGGTTAGCAGCTCTGAAAATTGATATTAGCAAAGCTTATGATAGAATGGAGTGGAACTACCTAGAGGGAGTTTTACGTTCTATGGGCTTTGCACCTACTTTTACGTCGCTTTTGATGGGCTGTGTAAGGATTGTTTCTTATACTATTCGACATCGCGATAGAAGCATGGGCCCTATCTTCCCTACTCGTGGCCTCCGCCAAGGAGATCCCATCTCCCCTTATTTGTTCATTATCGGGGCAGAGGGACTGTCAAGACTCATCTCTCGAAAGGCAGGGGATGGGGCAATCTCTAGATGTCGGGTGGCCAGGAACGCGCCTATTCTCACTCATCTCTTTTTTGCAGACGATAGTCTATTTTTCTTTGGTGCTTCAGAGGAGGAGTCAATGCAAATTCAAGATGCCATTGGAACTTATGCAGCAGCTTCAGGTCAAAAGGTTAACTTTGACAAATCAACAATATGTTTTAGCCCAAACACTGAAGACTCAATCCGAAGGGTTATTTGTCAACGGCTAGAGGTTCCAGAGAGCTCGGACCTGGGCAATTATCTTGGTCTGCCTTCTGCTATAGGACGGAATAAGCGAGAGGTGCTTCGGTATATCAAAGATAGAACGTGGAAAAGGATCACAGGGTGGAAAACTAAGTTGTTATCTCAAGTCGGTAAAGAAGACTTGTTGAAGTCGGTTCTGCAAGCAATATCGTCTTATGCTATGGCACTCTTCTTATTACCAAAATCAATTTGCTCGGATCTTGAGCGGATGTTGGCGCGATTCTGGTGGAGCAAGGATACAAACTTTACGAGGAATATTCATTGGATGAGTTGGAATAAATTGAGTCGGTAGAAGCAATTGGGTGGACTGAACTTCAAAAAGATTCGGGAATTCAATTTAGCTATGCTTGGGAAGATGACTTGGAAGTTCATGACTCGACCTGACCTGTTAGTTTCACAGGTTTTTAAAGCTAAATATTTTCGAAATACAAACTTCATGAAGCAAAACTTGGCTCAAACCCTAGTTTTGTTTGGCGGAGTTTCTTTGCGACTCAGGACTTGATACGCAGGGGCACCCGCTGGAAAGTTGGTCAAGGAAATCAGATCCGGGTTTGGTCTGACCCGTGGCTACTAGACAGTGATAATCCCTACATTATGTCTTATAACCCAAATCATGATTCTTTGCAGCATGTTAGTGATCTCATAATCAATGGACAGTGGAATTGGCCACTGGTGGAGGCGGTGTTTAATGCGCGGGACTTGGCAGCAATCCGAGCTATTCCTTTATCTTCTACGCCGGGGATGGATAGGCTGTTCTGGATGCTCGATAAAACTGAGACTTACACGGTCAAGAGTGCGTACAGACCATAGTTACAGAATTCGTACACCCAGCCGCGATTTACGAATTGGTACGAATCGTACCCAATCGCAATTCGCCGGCGATCCGATTGCCACCGGTACGACGACCCAAATCGCCACGGTACGGCGCTCCAATTCGCAAAGGTACGGCGATCCAGATGCCCTCAAACGTCGCACCAAGTCGGAGAAGACGCAGTGCCGATCGCCGGGTCCAGGGATCCAAATCGCAATTTCGTCACTTCCAGGTTCAATTCGCGATGGGCGATTGCACTTCCCCAAAGTGTCGTGCGAATCGTTTCCCAGACTCGATTGCACTTCCCCAAAGTCTCGATTGTTCTGACTTCTCTTCGTAAGTGTTTCCTGTTTTCCTAGAAGTGCGATTGCACTTCTCTTCGTAAGTGTTTCCTGTTTCCTGTTCTGACCTCTCACCCTCTCAAGTCTCACCACACCCCAACTTAAAGTCCTCAATATTTTTGTCTACTTATGTTTTGACTTTTGGTATGCCGAACCAAATACATGGTACACCGTACCGCTTCGTACCGAAATGAACCTACCCCCCTTCGTACCGAATTCGTTACCTCTAGCGAATTTCGTACCCGTACCGCGTACCCGTAACGAAACGTACCGCGATTTATGTGACTATGGTACAGACAGTTAACATGGGACCAAACAACAGCAACAGAGAGCAACACAGTGCAAGAGAGCTTATGGAGGAAGGTGTGGAAGGTTAAGGCTTTAACGAAGGTCCGCAATTTTGTTTGGCGTGCGATTAATAACATTCTGCCGTGTTTGAATAATCTCGTTAGGAAGAAAGTTCGATTAAATTGGTATGATGGGTAGAAACAATCAATTTTAGAATCGGAGCAAGGTAGGTGCTCCGATTAAATTGGTATAACAATCTTACACCAATCAATTGGTGTAAGATTACCCCTCATATATATGAAGAGGGGTAATCTTACACAAAAAATTTGGTGTAAGATTGTTACACCAATTCAATCGGAGCACCTACGGTGCTCCGATCGTAAAATTGATTGTTCATAACCCCCTAACCCCCCGGCAAACCCCCATACCCGGCCCGTCCCAAACGCATCCCCGCACCCCCTCCAATTGCATCGCCTAATTTTTGGTTGACTTTCGGGTCAATTTTTAACTCAACAACTTTTTTGCAAAAAAATAACAAATAAAAAAGAAAAAAACAAACAGATAAGATGAATATCGGAAAAAATTCAAAAACAAACAAAAAAGTTAACAAACAAAGAAATAAAATAAAAAAACAGACAAATAAATAAGACTAAAATACTTAGAGGAAAGAATGAAAAATAAACAAAAAGTTAACAATAAAAAAAGATTACAACAACAACAATCCAGATCGATCCCACAAAAACATTGAAAACAAAAAATAAGACTAAAATTTTGGGAAAAAAGATCGAAAGTGAACAAAATAAATCGTGAAGCTAAAGAAACAAAAATACTAAAAAAACAAAACAAATTGAAAGGATAAATTTCAACGATGGTATACGAACTTTCAGCATTATTTCACTTCGGTATATAAACTTTAATTTCTATCACAAAAATACACGAACTTTCAACATTCTTTCACCGGTGGTCCAATAGGCGGTTTCCAAGTCACCTTCAGGTCAATTGGGGTCAAATTATAATTTTATAAATTTAAATTTTATGATTTTGACTCATTTCTTTTTTTTTCTCTTGATTCTCCACCCTTTTCATCTTCTTCAAGACCCCACCCGACCCTGATCCCCCACCCGACCCCCCACCCTTGTTAGGTTGTGGAGCTTGATCAATATTTGATGTACTGTCATATATTAATGTTCATTCTCCAATTATTCTCTGCAACTGTACATACTCTGAATGATTAATATATAACCCACCGCCGTGGAAGTTTACTCACACGGGGTGTTACCACGAATTATTACTCACGCATTTCTCTCTCTACTTTTCCCAAATACTCTCTCGTTTCTTGATCTTCGTCATCTCAATCGTGTGTGTTGATCGATCCTCACAACCCCCCACGCGATTTTCCAAAGCCATAACTTTAATTGGTTCTTGCTCTTGATAGTGGAAACATGACTTATATTGTGCGTAAAAATCGCGCAGGAGTTCAGCCCAGAACCAGTAATTCCAATCCATATAGCTCGGCCCGAACAAGTTGAGAAAGCATTGAAACATGTTTACCATTCATGTATCAACAAGCTAAAGGGGAAAGAGTTGGGATCAAGTTCATGTATCAACAAAGGTAGAGGTATATCAGGATTCTACTAGGGTTGATCTCGCCTTGCAAGTATAAATAAAAGGAAGACCTGCCTGTTTGGGGTGCGAATCGAGAGAGAAAATATATCAAGAGAGAATCCTGAATAAAGAATTGATCAGCCAAGTAGATCGAAGGACACATATGGCTGGTATGCAGAATAACCTTCTGTTTAAAGATTAACGTGCGTTCCAGACAGTTGAACTGAGAAGAGCTGGAGCGTAGGCCAGGAACATGTCTCAGATAAGTTGCTCAGTGTTTCAGTCTCGGTATCTCTGCATAAACCGAGTTTATTACATCCCATTAAGTTGTTGAGTTTAGATCAATGGATAGATCGAGTCTGTTGTCATTGAGGGTGTAAACTCTGAATTGATTTTGTGGGAAAGCTGTTACACTGACGTGGGCCTCGCAGACGTAGGAGAAATTGCTCCGAACTGCGTAAACAATTTGCGTGTTGTGTGCTGTTTCTTTTGTTTTTAGACTGTTTATTCGGTAGTTGGTGAAGCACTTTGTTTATAAACTTAGTATTAGAAAGTGCTTCAGCAACCTCTGCAACAACTTGCTATTCCTAGGTTGCTACAGGTCATGAGGGAAGTGAAACTTTCAAGATTCACTTCCAATTTCTTCTTTATGAAATGTTTCTGTGACATATTTTTTTCTCACTTCTAAGTCAATCTACTATCACACAATTTCATTTTTCATAATAACCATTTCAGGCCAACTTGGGAAGAAAATTGTAGGATAGGGATGGAGTACTATTGCTGTTGCTACTGTTATTGAGGAGCCTTTATGCTATTATCATTAACGAAATTAATTAAATTGTTAAGGTCTTAAAAAATAAAAGGCAATGCTATACTAAATTCTAATACTCTGTATATCACAACAAAAATCAAACATATCCAAACAAATACTCCATTTTTGAGTAAGATAACAATTCTAATATTAGACAGGCATACAGACAAATTGTTTTTATCTGTGTTTGAACCAAACAGCCAATTATTAGAGTGAATGTACAACTAACATCAAACACAACAATCCTTTCTATTTTGTTTCATTATGATTGTTTAAAGTAACATATTATCCAGTTAGGAACTTTGATCTATGAGACTTCAACCTCACGGCTCACGCTAAGATCCTGGTGACACAAACTGAGTGAGTTGTTGACCTAGTTCACACACATTATTTGAAATGAACAAAGCATTTTCAAGTTAGGAATAAAAGAAAATGGACTATTGAGGTAGCATGGAGAATAATGCACTCTCTCTCACCTGAAGATGACAAGGTTCCAAAGTGTCAAAAAGATCTTCAGTTACATCTTGGGCTCTGACAGTATATAGAGCATTCTTAAATCCACGGGAAAGAAGATATTCCTCTGTGTCCTTAGGCATAATACTTCCAAGCACCTGATAACTGTGTAAATACATCTAATGCAGTGGTACGAATGCAACAAAATGTTACAGTTTCCATTTTCCAAAACATTGTTAGTGAACAAAGCATGTAGTGATAGGTAAAGTGTTCAGTCAGATACAATTTCTGGAATTCTACTTGATGCATAAGACAAGATACCCAAAGCACTCTCATTCATTAGGAGCCAGAAACAACTGAACACACTAGAGGAAAGACTGTTACTTCCTTGCTAAACTAAAGAATCTTAGGAATCACTAGTTATAAGTTGCACGTAGCAGACAAATCTATCACAAACATAAGAATGCATGAAGAATTCATGACCTCTATGTGCCCCTTGATGTAAATATCTCCATAAAAACCATTTCAAAGTCAAACAATTTCTCTAATGAAATGGAGCATCCCAAAGTACCCCATAATGCACAAAGAAGATGTCATAGTGCAAGTACTGCATACTGAAATATAAAAAAATGCCTCTTACACACTCCAAAGTAGACTGAAAAAGAATCATATAGATTACCGAAGATCCGACTTGAGTCTGACAATCGCTCAAATTCTTGTAAATTCCAATGAGATCCCCCTTCCTGACAACAAAAAATTTGTCTCCATCGTCATTCATTTTTGGAGTAGTCGCAAAAGTGGGACCGGACTTCTGTGATCGAGAATTTTTTCGTCTAGACCCTTTAGATGAGTACAGCTTAATGGAAAAACTATTCAGAAACCAGTTAAAATTAACACTCCCAGCTCCAACATGGTTGACACTGGCATTCCATCTGTTAGATGAGAATTTGCAAAATGTACTAGTCCTTAACACATTTGTAGTGTTTGATGATATAGCAGCAGAACATGCACGAAACAAGCCGTTCATTAGCAGTAGCTCCTCCCCCGGGTCTCCACCAATTCCTGTAAACGAGAAAATGCACAAAACTTGTACACATTCAACAATTAACTTGACCTGGTTATAGTCGAAATCGATCAGAAACTTTGAAAGCTAAACAAAATCCCAGCTACTAAAGCCACATCTTTATCAATTCCAAGCTGAATGCAATCGATTAATCACAAATTCCAACCAAGCATAGCAAAAGCAATGTGTGAACTGTGAAGCATAGACACGCAAAACCTTCGGAGACATCGCGTCGATGCCAGGAAAAGAAGGTACCTTAGGCGCAGCCGGGGAAGAAGACGGGGAAGCGCAGGGCCGACGGAGAAAGGGGGGGCGAGAGACACCGCCGTCGGGAGTATTTCTTGTTTTGCGGATTTTTGAACGGAGAGATTAGAAGGTTGTACTCCCGTATCCTCCGGATGCTTAATTTGAATTGATAAGCCAGAAATCTACAATTTTGAGTGTTTGACATCAAATTTTAGCATCTACACAAATTTTAAATATTTCTATAAGATAAAGCTTTAAAAAAAACTGTATTCAATAAAGTGAAAGTTAAGTATACACCAAAATGGGGCATCTCATTTGTACGTCAGGATATTAAGATTGTGTTATCTTCATTTGAAATGAATGGTTCTAGTATGATTGGAATAAGTTTTGATTTGATTTAAATATAGTTATATTAAAAGATATTTTTAATTTGATTCAAATAAATTTAAGTACAAAGTAATAATTAAAAAAATAAAATGAGGAGAACGTGATCTAAATGTCTGCAGGATTACAGACATTTAGTGTCTGTATTTGTTTGAAGCACAAATATGATACACTATTTGGCATACCCCTAAAATATTCAATGTCAAATATTTGATGTTAAATCTAATAGATTTCTAACATTTTTGTAATTTGAAAAATTACATTTTAATTCCAAAGCTTAAATTTGCTATTGAATTTTGAACTACAAAATACATTGTACCGAGTATAATGTAGAAAATTGTTCTTGGGTACTGCATATTTTGAGAAACTAATTGCCAGGTACCTCACATTTTTAAAATATACTCCAAGGTACCCTCTATTTTGAGAAACTAAGTATTGAATGCCTCACATTTTTAAATTATACTCCGGGATACCTTCAAATATACATTCACTTGCCTGTGAGGGACATTCCGTCTCACTCTCCGTCAAAGCTAATTACGCCATTAATTTTTAGAAATAGGGATTTGGAATTCCAAAAATAACCTTGGTTCTTACTCCCTCCGTCCCGGAGTATTCGTCCAGTTTTGACTGTTGGAACTGTTTATCTAAGCACTTTGACTCATCAAATTCTCTCAATGTGTAAGCCTAAATATAGTCATGTATGATCTTGTTTGATTTGTCTTAACATATAGACTATTAATATATAATTTTCTATAATTTTTTAATATACAAATTATAAGATAAAATGGATTAAAGAAGTGTGTTGGATGGTGTGTAAAAATGAAAGTGGACAAATACTCTGGGACGGAGGTAGTATACTTTAATGATATGATTCATCCAATTTAGTCGAAGCTTTTGAATGATACGGAATGTCCCTCACAGGTAAGTTAATATATATTTGGAGATACCCCGGAGTATATTTTAAAAATGTTAGTTACCCGACAGTTAATTTCTCAAAATAGATGGTACCTCAGAGTATATTTTAAAAATATTAGGTATCCGATAGTTAGTTTCTTAAAATAGAGGGTACCAAGGTGCAGTTTTGTGAGTATAATGTGACAAAGATTTCTCTTATTGTAGGTTTTGAAAGCATTAAAAGCAAAAAGATCAAACACGAGAGAGCATGCATCGATAGATATTTATATCATTTGCAGTAGACACTTTTGGATTTCTTGCGATTGAGGCTCTGGAGTTATATAGTCGAGATATAGTTTTTATAAGAGCATTGGCAGCAGCGTTCCAAGCCAATGCCATGCCACCTAGGACAAAAAAGTTTCCTTCCTTGCGTGGAAGCACCGTTCCTCCATGGATTGCAAGGCTTGAGCGAGGCACATATAACTTTTTTTTTTACTTTTCAATTTTTATTTAAAGAAAGATTTCTTTTTGTAAAGTAATAGAATTATTTTTTACTTTCTCCATCTCACAATAGATTATAATTTTTTTCCCTCACCTCGCGATATCTTTTGTTTATTTGTATGTTTTCATTGATTATTTAACTAAAAAAATTTTGTCACAACTTTTTTTGTAGAACTTTTGATGTAATTTTTAAATTTATAAGTTTTATTTTTAATTCTTATACTAATTTTTAAATGAAATGGTTTTTAAAAATAGAGAGTCTTTGCATCGTAATTCTAAAATAATAATCTAAATTGAGATGAATTAGGAATAAATAAAAATATGGAGTAGATAACAAAAAAAATTTAATAATTAAAAATTATTTATTTGAGTAAATGGAAATATTTTCATGATAAAAATATATAAGTAAAATAATTTTTAATAATTCAAATATGGCAAAAATATGAAAAAAAATGATGAAAACAATGACTTGCCATTGCAAGGCATGCCACTCCACTCATGTGCCACTCGTTGACTGGACTGTTTTTTATTAGTTAATATGCTCCACGTTAACGTGTGGGATTCCATTTTTGCCTCACCATTGTTCATGCTCTAAGGAAAATGCTATTTGTACCCAAGAATTTGTATCCCATTTTGTACACTGCAGGAATGTACTAACATTTTATGTTATGTAATGCTTATTTTTGTTAACGCACCAACACTTTGTGTCAATATAAATTTTTTGTTGACGCACCAACACTTTGTGTCAGTGTAAATCATCAAAGTGTTAGTACATACCTTTGGTGTACAAATAGAGTATACATTTTGGGATACATGTAGCATGTTCCTTTTTAAAATACTTTGTTTACTATTGAAAAAAGATAGTATCAGGTTTGACTTTCATCTCAATGTACAAGAAAACCATGAAAAATGTTAGAGGTACACCATTTGGTATTCCCCAAATGTCTCCCACCCTCTTCATAACAACAAAAATTTGCAACTAAATTCAAAAAAAATAAAAATTAAATAAAAATGAATGGTAAAAAAAACATGTTGTGTACATTTGGAGTACACTTTTGGTATTCCCATAACCATATACGGAGTACTTGTTGATGTAACACTTTCCAATTAGTACAAATTGTAAAACTGATGAGAGGAAAAAAATGTACAATATACATTTGCAATTGAGCTAGTTGGAAACTATAAGAATTGGTTCAAATTAAAATTTTAGATTAAATAAATCGGTACAAATAATTATTTCTCTAACAACTAAAGTTATTTAATCAGATGCAAATAATTTGTGTTGATTAATACAGGGTGCAAATTTATAGAGAATTACATAGTCCAATATGATATTGATATACAGAGTGCAAATGAAGGAGATGGAAGGGTTGGTTCGGATCAGGTCGATTACAGTGTTACTTCAAACCATATTTGGCAAGAGCTCCCGTAAGTTGCACTTTCTCCCTGACCTTCAGCCTGAGATTAAAATAAAAAGAGTCATGTTTAACGTGTGCACAGTGACTTCTTGCAAATGAAGCATTTGTTAAGGTAATCAAGTTCAGGGACAGACAATCATTAGATTCATTACCTCTTAGCAGATCCAAGAATGTTTGGGTTTCCTGATGATGACTTGCCTTTCTTTCCTCTTTCAACTTTCTTCTTCTTCTCATTTACTTCTGTTTTCTTTGGAACTGCAGAGAAGGATGATGAACTGCTTCCTCCAACCCCTTCCTCATCGCCCGCATTGGTGATCCCCTCAAACATTCCAGAAACTTCTCCATCCCAATCAGCTTCCGCAAGATTGGAACAATGGCCAGTTTCATTGGGAAACTGCACGTTCTTGGAATTCGCAGGGTTGGAATTCATCATCACACATTTGATATGTTTCTGGACCTTACCGAACCCTATGCTCTTCCCTGAGAATGTCTGTACAAATCTACCATGATCCAGAAACTCTCTCAACACAAAAGAATGCAGAGTAAAAGACTTACATTATAAATAAAAATGCTTTCTTTCTTTTCTTTCTTTTTTTAACCTGTGTGCTCTATCTTCAGACTTGAAATCAATAAAGGCGATGCCTTTGCAGGTAGGGTCCCTGGTCTTAGCTTTTCCAGAAACAACTGGGTTTATCTTGACAATTCCAGGAAACTCTTTGAAAGCCGATCGTAAATCTCTGTCGACATTCCTTTTCTTAGGAAGGTTGATCAGGCGCACACGAACATGTTCTGATGCTGTAGAAACTCCAGCATGCTACTGGCCAAATTAGTTTCCACATGATGCAATAACAGTAAAGTATTTGAAAGAACGAAAACCCCAGAATAATCCCACAAAAGCATGGCCTAGGGAAGGCATGTGTAAGCATATATTACCCCTACTTGAAAATAAAGATTCTGTTTTCAATGGATTTCCAGTTCAAAATAACAAGATTGTGCATATTGATCATATATAATAACAACTGCCATTAATTTGTAGGCATAGCTTGGCATAAATCCAGGCGATTTTTCTCCTTATAGATGGGTTTTCCAAGGAGGCCTTATATGTTAGTTTGCATCTTTGCATTTGGCCAATCAGATTTGATATGGTTTCAAAATCTCCATTGATGGTTACTTTAGCTTGTATCTTTATATTTGGCCAATATATAGGATAAATTAACTGATTAATGGTATGAAAAAATAATGCCAGGAGAGCTTTGAAAGAAAAAAAAAACTAACCTCCTTCTTGGTTGATCTGTTTCTTATTTGGGGCAGGATTTAGAGGTGGACTGTTCTTGAGCTTGTTGAGATTAACAATCTGAGCTCTCCTACTCTGCTCAATCTCTTCCATCAGCTTATCTTCAATCGAAGTGTCGTACACTTCTCCTTCTCCAAACCCCCGCGGTTTCTTCTCGTGCCATGTCTTCATACTATCCCTCAGATGAAGAAACACGTCGCCGTCGTCCTCGTCATCGGAATCATCATCACCGTCGACACTGTCTATTTCAGTCGGAGATTTGGCGGCCCTCTTTTGATTGCTCGAGGTGAGTGAGAAAACCCTAGTTTTCAACTGCCGTGGAAGAGAGAAGGAACCGGGTCGGGTCACTCCGATTGAGGGTAAATGGAATCGGGTTTGAGGGGCTCGGAGAAGATTGGCGCTGCGGAAGAATTTGGACTTTGCAGGAAATCCACCAAGACTGAGCATTGCTTTGAATAGTTGAATTGCAGGAAATTTTTGAACGTCGTCGAGGAAGACGATGGATGAGAAGATTCGGATAAGATGCTTGATTTAAATGGGCTTGTGATTTTAGTCTGAGCGCATTTTACGTGCTAAGCCCAACGAAGAAAATAAAAACGGATGATTGGGCCTTGGAAGTTGAGAAAATGAATTCTCTTTCGTGGGTATCCGTGTCATTCTAAAAAGTTCGTTAAAGGTGGTAGGGGAGAGTGTGGCATGGTTTAATACGGTATTTAGCTCATACCGATATTGTTTCAAATATTTCAATTTCGTATAAGATTTTATGTCTTACCGATATGATCCTGATTCTGAAGTATTGGTTCAGTATATTATAAGATGGTTTGATATTGGTTTTTGGTACAAATCGAGATGATATATATATATATATATATATATATATATATATATATATATATATATATATATATATATATACTCCCTCCGTCCCATGAAACATGGGACTTTTGCTTTTTAGGAGGGATTTAAAGAGAGTGTATTTTGGTATTGAATTTCCAAAAATGTCCTTTGATGTGATGGGTAAAAGTATGATTTGATGGATAGATTATTAGTAAAAAGGTATGATGTGATAGTTAGGGTATGAAAAAGTAAGGGGTAAAAGTGACTTGTTAATAGAAATGAGAAGTGTTTTTTGGGACGGATGAAAAAAGAAAGGGAAAAGGTTTCATGTGACGGATGGAGTATATATATATATATATATATATATGATGGTGTAAATTTAACCAGATAAGTTTGACCGGATACGACCTAATCAAACTGACTTTACCTAACAAGACAAACACACCATAAAGTAAGAACAGAAAAGATGATCTAGAGTACTAGGAAACAATTCTTGAGTCCGAAACTATTTCTTATTGCCTGGAGTGTTCAAGAATGTGTATGAATGCTTGAATGCCCTTCTTCCACCTCTCACAATCTATTTATATGGGGTGGAAGAAATAAATAAAGGTAATAAGCCCTTCCTTAAGTGCAATCTTAGCTTTAATCAATACTTACATAAGGAAATAGTCACCTAACCCGTCATTCACTAGCCTAACAATCAATGAGCGTAAATCTCGCACTCATTCATGCCCTCCAAGCTTATACCTTATACTCATCAAGATACACACACACACCTAGTTTATACCATTAAATGTAAAGAAAAATCTTTTTCTTGAAATATTGAAAATACATATAAATAAAGAGAGATACAAATTTAAAAATCAATAATAAAATGCAATATTGGCTTATGAAAATTAGTCTATATTTCACAAATAAAAGAGAACGAATGATAACAAAATTTATTTCAAATGTTTGTTAATGTCCTTATACTCATCTACAAGAAACAAAAAAAGTCTAATTAAATCATAATTTTACACATAATGTAATTAAATTAAATTGTCAAAATAATTTTATCATTTAATGAAGAAATATAAAATAATTTATTTTTATATTACTATAGTATATATATGTTCACTTTGAGAATTTCGGTGAGAATAGACTGAACATTCCATTCACTTATTTTGTGATATTGATATAATCTATCGTTATCCAAACTTTCAAAAAAATATTATTATCTAATATTTGTTGCTAATGATCAAATTCGTAAAATTATTGAAATTATCAGCATGATCCAACACTTGTCACTATTAACAAAACACTCACATGCATAATTCCCTCTATTTACAAAATTATCTTTATTCAATTCATTTATGAATACTTACAAATTATCTATCATTAGAGTCTTTTCATTTATTCATGATAGGACACTGAATTTATACATAACTTATTAATCATCCACAAACACTCTTTCAATTACTCGTGAAGCACAAATGCAATAGGAAAGTTCGACACACTACACAACGAAAATTTTAAAAAGAAAAAATTAAAACCAAAAAATAAAAATAAAATAATAAAAACATTTTCTCCAGCTCAATACTTTTGAAACATGGAAGAGTACCAATAGTTTGCCACATGTCTTGTTCATTTATCCTGCAAATATTTTAATTTCTCGGTTATTTAATGAATATATCAGGCTTTTTTTCAATTCACATTTGATTTTTAAAAAATTACTCCGTAATATATACTCGTATATGGAAACTAAAGTTGTGTTTGATGAGAAAACAAGATGGAAATTTTGATGTCCCCAGATATTAAACTTTTTTGGATGCTTGGTAAAGCAAAAAAAAAACAAATCTAATATGTTTAGATATCATGAATCCTTTAAACTAATATTTCGAATTTAAGAGATATCAATATAAAAATTTGATATTTTTTCGCAACCATTAATCATTCTCTGTCGCATACTACCATTGTCACGACCAACTACCTCTGTTGCAGGTCACCCCCACTTAACAATAACTAAATTATGATTTTAAATTTCTCTAAACAACTTTATTTTTAATTTCAAAAAATTCATCACTTTTTTCATATATTTCATAACTCATATCTTATAATATGTTCAAAACTTACCAAACGGGTCATAAAATCACGCCTAGTCGTGTAGAATCATTTAACTTTGGATATATCACAAAAGTTATAAGTTGTGATCAATTAATTCTAAATAAAGAGAATTTATTTGACGATTGTACTACAATATACTCCGTATATGACTGTACTCCAAAAATTAAATTTAATTTTTTGAATAAAGTTGTTTTCAAACAAGCCCGAAAACTAGGATGTAATACATTTATTCTTTCATTAAATTTATATAAGTTCTTTATTTATTTTTAATTGATCGATAATACATTTTAAAAAATTTAGATTTGTTGGAATCAACATTTTAAAAAGACTATTTGATGATAATATTTAATTTTGTCATTTTAAAAATTTATATGGATTATAAAATATTATCTAAATTAAAACGCTAACAGTTATAAAAAAAATATTATTCTCAAATAATGAGAAATGTGTAAGGAGCATTAAATGGAGAATAGCTGGGCATGAAGGTGCAGCCGGCCGGTTGGTCGGAAACAGCTTTACGAACGACCAAATGGTCCAATTTATGAATTTCAAAGTTCAAACCACATCAACTCATTTCATTTCTATCAACTCTTGTATCGTAAAATTTTTAACGTACTTTTTAAATACGGAGTATGTAATTTTTAATTTTTATTGATACACCAATTTATAGATAAAAAGATTTTAAAAAATAAATTAATTCTTTTCATAAACTTTAATTTGTAATCAAATTAGAGAGAAGAATGGAGTATAATTTAGCTTGTCGGAGGAGATGGGTACACAGTGATGCACTGTCCCCACCGGAGGAACTTAATTGTGGCTCTACCTCTGGCGCAATGACCAAATTTCCTCGTTCTAACGTAACGCTCCTTGGATTTATCATTTTTTCTCAATATTGTCCCACCTTTTCAAATCAATTTGTCATTAATTTTAATATAGTCCTACACTCCTACATACACTCCCCCAATCAATTGTTTATTTTCCAAGAACAAAATCTAAATTTTCTTGCAAACATTTTTATGTACAATGTAATACAGAAATAGAATGTAAAATTTATGAACTCGATCTGGGGTATTTGAAAGTTACATAATTTTTACATGCAATATAAAATTTTATTTTATTAATTGATAAATGAAAAAGTATGCACAAATAAAATTTACTCCAAGTATAAAATACGGAGTACACTAGGAAAGATGTAACATTTCAAATAATATTTAAAAACTTAAAAAAAAAATTAACGAAAAAGTGTGTTTGTTATTTACATATTTGAAAGAGATTAAGTAATGTTTGAGAATTGGAGTTTATTTGAAATCTTAAATTTTATTCTGTTATATTTATATTTGAGATTTTATCATTTCAAGTTAAAGATGCATTCTTTTAATTAAAAAAACTATAGAATTTCAATTTTACCATTTGGATTTTGAAGCGGACAAAGAAGGAGAAAGAAAGTAGTTACCATAGAATTATTATACCATGAGGAAAATGACTTTTTGATTTTAAGTTATAGATTTAAAATTATTGACTTGAATTTGTATATGACGAAGGAAAACGTATTTATTTGTAATTGAATTTGTATGGAATTAAAGTTATTTATATGTTGAAAGATTTATTTTCTAAATTAAACAAGAAAGTAAAAATATTAAAATTTATTTATTGGAGAAACAATAATAAGGAATATGAATTTTTGTATGAAGAATGAAACCAATCATTGAGCTTTGAAATCAGATTTCCTTTTCTTTTTAAATAATCCTCCGTATAAACTCCGGACTATCATTAAACATAAATGATACAGACTAATAAAGTTTAGGATTCACGAAATTCAAATGGTGGAATTGAAGTTGGGAATAGAAAATTCAATTCCAGTGTTCGGTAGCAAAAACATATACTCCCTCCGTCCCCAAGTTTGTCTACTTTCATTTTTACACATCATCCAATACACTTCTTTAATCTATTTTATCTTGTAATTTGTATATTAAAAAATTATAGAAATTATATATTAATAATCTATATGTTAGGACAAATCAAACAAGATCACACATGACTATATTTAGGCTTACACATTGAGAGAATTTGATGAGTCAAAGTGTTTAGATGAACAGTTCCAAAAGTCAAAAGTGGACAAAAACTGGGGGACTGAGGGAGTACAAATTTAAAAATTGATAGTGCAAAAAAAGAAATTAGAATTAGAAAAATGCATTCCATCCAAATCAAGTTCATGAGATTTAAACTCCTAATTTAATTCTAATTCTGTCAGTTTCATATAATAAAATATGCAGGTAAATATCAACTTTTACCTGAAGCTCGCGGGTAAATATGCATGTCTGGTTCAAGCTTCAATTGTTAGACTCGCTATACAGGTCGTGTCGGGCTCAAGTCTAGAAATTTCTCATAATATAGCATATTCTTAGTCCGATCCCACTCACACTTTGATCAAGTCTACTGATAACATACACTCCAGTTAGAATTTGAGATGGGTATGGACAATTAGATTGAGTTATAAGACACTTGGGCTGAATCACATTAAAATATTAAATCCAATTGATTAGTTGGCTCAACTCAAGGGATTATATACCGGTTTATTTTCTCTTCAAGTTCCGATGTATGATACTCCCGCTCAAGTGAACAATCGGGCCATTTTGAATCTAACCGGTTGACCACATGCAAATGTACTCCCATTCCCTTAACTTTTTATTTTTTGAGCGCCAACACCTAAATGACCACGAGCCGCTGGATATGGACTTAGACGAGCAATCGTGTTAAACGGGCAACGAGCCGTTGAATACATACTCCATACGGACAACTGGGATAAAGACAAACAGACCGCTAGGAATGAACGTTTAGACGGACACCTTGACAAACAAGGTGGGCCAAAAACCTTTTCTAATACCAAGTTTGAATTTGAGATGGGTATGGACACTTGGGCTGAACCACATTAAAAGATTGAATCCAATCGATTAGTTAGTTCAACTCAAGGGCGTATATACCGGTTTATTTTCACTTCATGTTCCGATATGGGATACTCTTTAACACAAATTTGGTCCGTCCCTGAGTGTTTGTCCACTTTTGACTTTAGGAACTGTTGATCTAAGTACTTTGACTCATCAAATTCTCTCAATGTGTAAGCCTAAAAATAGTCATGTGTGATCTTGTTTGATTCGTCTTAACATATACTACCTCCGTCCCATTGTCTTTGTCCAGTTTTGACTTTTGGAACTGTTCATCTAAGCACTTTGACTCATCAAATTCTCTCAATGTGTAAGCCTAAAAATAGTCATGTGTGATCTTGTTTGATTCGTCTTAACATATATATTATTAATATATAATTTTTATAATTTTTTAATATACAAATTACAAGATAAAATGGATTAAAGAAGTGCATTGGATGGTGTGTCAAAAGGTAAGTGGACAAACACAGTGGGACGGAGAGAGTAGATTATTAATATATACTACATAATTTTTATAATTTTTTAATATACAAATTACAAGATAAAATAGATTAAAGAAGTGCATTGGATGGTGTGCAAAAATGAAAGTGGACAAACACTCAGGGACGGAGAGACCGAGAGAGTATATAACTCAAGTATACATATTTGTAATTTTATATAAAAAGTGTCAAATAAAACTTATTTAATGTTAAAATAAGTTTTAAAAATGAAATCTAATTTTGCGGCATGAGCTATCCATCCTAAAATTTGAACCTCCTTTACTTTTGAAATTTTTAAAGAAATACTCCGTAATTACTTTAACACGTTACCAGTAACACTAGAATACTCCGTAAATTTACTCACGAATAATGCCGTCAATATCAGCTAATAACAAAATCTTATCATGCATGCCCTCTTTTTTCACAAAATCCTTCTCCCTAATTTTTTGCGTACTCATTAATTACTTCTAAATCTGTTCTAATCACATCTAAAATGTACATAAAATACACTTCATTATATAGTTTATTATGGATAAAAGTTTGAAGATATTTTAGATATTTTAGGTAGTATAGAAGTATTTTATAGGATGTAAAAAAAGTTAAGACTTTGAAACGGAGGGAGTTTATACACACACACACACACTCTGTCCCAAAATATTTGCGGTGTTTGCTTTTTCAGCCGCCGCAAGAATTTTTATTTATTTCTACGTTTTCATTAGTTATTTGATAAAATAAAATACTCTTGACACCTCTTATTTTAAAGAACTTTTCATGTAATTTTTTGATATATAAATTTTATTTTTTATTTTTATATCAATATGTAAATAAAATGAATTAAAAACCTAATATTTTATTTTGAAAATACAAATGTGACAAATATTTAAGAACAAGGGAATTATAAAATTTGGGGGAACCTCTTTTCTTTTGGGCTTTGAAATTTTTTTTCCTTTTAACAAGGAGAATTTTATAAAGGGGAATATATGCCAATTCTTAAACAAAGGAGGCAGAAAGTTTCAGATGGTTAGAGAGTTGGGGTAGTGTGGCTGTGTAAAGTTAAAGCTTTTTTTCTTTTTGAATACTAAAGTTAACAAGCTCTATGGTTCCAATTTAAGAATAACGGGTCTTCAAAAGAGATTTCATTCTTTGAGAAAAACACTCTCCATAAAAGGGATTTTATTACTCCATTCGTTTTCAAAAATACTTTATATCTCATTTTTTTGATTTCCAACAAAATACTTCCACTTTATATTAAAAATCACTGTTATCTTTATTTTTTCATACCCAACATATCACATCATATTTTTTCTTTAATAATCTATACATTACATCTTACTGTTACCTATCACATCATGAGCAAAATTAGAAATTAATTAGTCCATATAATTTAATACGAGTAATTGTTTATTTTGTCTCCAAGTCAAAGTAAGAACCTTCTTTGCTAATGAGGGAGTATGTTTTATCAAAGGGAAATGTTCAAATGACATTGAACCTTAATGTCATAGGATGACCCGGGGCCGCTCCAGTACCCCGTTGGTGAAATTGACGATTCCTACTCCCCCTAACCCCCCGATAAACCCCCCACCCCGGCCCCGACCCGAACACACCCCCCACCCCCTTCAACTGCACCCTACAAGTTGATTTTGACTTTGGAGTCAAATTTTGATTCCAAAATCAAAATCAACTCGGGTCGGGGCCGGGGTGGGGGGTTTACCGGGGGTTAGGGGGGGTAGGAACCGTCAATTTTACCAATGGGGCACCGGAGCGGCCCCGGGTCATCCTATGACATTAATGTTCAATGTCATTTGGTGTTTATCAAATTGACATATTTGAAAGAAAAATTTGAAAAAACCTTACCAAGTGAATAAAATAATGATAAATAATTAAAAAGTAGACATTTAAATATATAAATAGTAAGTTTGTGTATTTTATGACCAAAATATTTGTGACTCTAGCACCTCTCAAAGAGGAAAAATAAACACGTAGTATATGGGTCATAAAAAGTACTCCCTCCGTCCCAAAAAGATTTACACCTTTCAAAAAAATTGTGTCCCACAATCTTCTACCCATTTCTATTAAAAAACCACTTTTACCCCTTACTTTTTCAAACCCTACCTATCACATCATACATTTTTTCCTAATAATCTACACATCACTTCCTACTTTTACCCATCACATCAAGGGTATTTTTGGAAAGTCAACACAAAATTATCTCTCTCTTAATTTCTACTTTAGTCAAAATGGGTAACACTTTATGGGACGGAGGAAGTATTGAATTGTAATGTGAACTTTTTATAATTATGGGACAAAAAAAGGTATTGAAACACGGAGTATAAACTATAAAGCAACTTACTCCGTAATAATTTAGTATAAAGTCTACTATTTAATTTTTTTTAGTCAAAATGTGTAATACGTCCCACTCTTTTTGTCCAGTTTTGACTTTTGGAACTGTTCATCTAAGCACTTTGACTCATCAAATTCTCTCAATGTGTAAGTCTAAAAATAGTCATGTGTGATCTTGTTTGATTTGTCTTAATATATAGATTATTAATATATAATTTTTATAATTTTTTAATATACAAATTACAAGATAAAATGGATTAAAGAAGTGCATTGGATGGTGTGCAAAAATGAAAGTGGACNGACTTTTGGAACTGTTCATCTAAGCACTTTGACTCATCAAATTCTCTCAATGTGTAAGTCTAAAAATAGTCATGTGTGATCTTGTTTGATTTGTCTTAATATATAGATTATTAATATATAATTTTTATAATTTTTTAATATACAAATTACAAGATAAAATGGATTAAAGAAGTGCATTGGATGGTGTGCAAAAATGAAAGTGGACAAAAAGAGTGGGACGGAGGGAGTATAGTAACAAAAAAAGTAGAAAAAGTATATTTAATTAGAATGTAAATTTAAAAAATTGGCTACATTTTTTGGTATAGTTTTGATTAGTCAAATTTTTATAACATTTAAGTATTTTAAGTATATTTAATTTATGATTAAAACATTAGTTATACCTTTGACTAAAAAATCAAACAGTTGTAAATTTGTTTTTGGATGTTTTTGTACTGTAAAAATTTATAGGAACATGGTCATATATGTAATCTACTACCTCCGTCCCTGTGTATTTGTCCAGTTTGACTTTTTTGAGTCAAACTGAACAAACTTTGAATTCCAATTACTCTTATTTTATATTGCATATTACCATAATGAAATACAATTTTGAAAGTTCTCAATACGATAAATCCAATAAAGTCATTTTTATGTTAAAATACATTACAATTTTTATTTAATTGAAGCTCAAACTTTATCCAGTTTAACTAGGAAAAGTCAAACTGGACAAATACACTGGGACGGAGGGAGTAATATTTTTATTGAGGGAGTATGAAACACTTAATTCACTTCTTTTAAAGACATGTTTTCTTCAACTTAGTATTTATTTTGAAATAGATTAGATTAAATATAAAAATTAAATGAGACTAAAAAATCATATCAAATCAAACTTTATTAGGTCAAACACATATACAATTCTAATTATAATGAAATCAGAACATAAATATTTAAGAAATGAAATAATTCAAATCAAATCAATCCAATAGAACATGTTGAAAATGGCAACTTAGTAACTAACTAGCTATTGTAAAAGCATTGAAAATGGTAGCCATTCTATCTACCAAAAAATGTACTCCGTGGTCATTCTTGCAACAATGGCACATGCCTATAAGAAATTTGTATTTTTTGTTTGTAGCCGTTGGAACTAATCTGGCATTATATTTATACACTATTTTGACCAATATAATGTGTAAAACTACATAAAATTCAAGATGATTATATTTACAAATATGTAAAGAAATAAAAAACAAAAAACTTATATTTACAAACTAAATAAAAAAACTCTACAAAGTAATATGTGAAAAAGATATTTTATCTTACCAAATGATCAATGAAACATGCATACAAATAAGCATTATTGATCAACTCTAATAGACTAAAACTCCATCCGTTCCACAAAATCCTTCCTTTTTCGTTTTTTTTGCTTTCCACAAAACACTTTCACTTTCTATTAAAAAATCACTTTTAACCCTACTTTTTCATACCCTACCTATCACATCATACTTTTTCACTAATAACTAAACTATAAGTTCTTACTTTTTCCCATCACATCAGGGGCAAAATTGAAAAGTCAACTAAAATTTCATTTTTCTTATTTTCTCCTAAAGTCAAAACCGGAAGGGTTTTGTGGAACGGAGGGAGTAGTAAATAAAAAAATTTTATGCGACGGAAAGAGTATAATATTACTTGATATATTGTTATAATTCTACTATGAATGTTACCACGTACTTGCTTGACCTAGTTAATTTTATCTTTATTTAAAACTGAAATACAGAGTAAAGAGTAAATAATACGGAGTATCAATCATTAAAAAATCTTTTAATAAAAGGAAATTAACATAAAAGGTTAAGGCCACTAAAAAATGTGGGAAGAAATTTACAGCATGAATGTGATAAAAATACCCCGACTTATAAAATGTAATAAAAATAGATGGTACGTAAATGTTTACGTAACTTTAGATACTCTTTTCGTCCCAAATATTTGTCACATTACGTAAAATAAAATAAAATTTTTAATTTTTTAATTTTTTATTTAAAAATTGATGCAAAAAATAAGAAAAATAAAATTTATATATCTAAAACTAGTCAAAAGTTTTTCAGAAATAAGAAACGATAAAAATATTTTATTTTATCAAATAATCGATAAAAACATATAAATAAACAAAAATTTCAATATTTGTTTAATAGAGAGTAGTAAATTGTGTCATTCTTTTTTAGATAGAAGAAATATGAAAAAGGAAAAGCAAATAACGCCTAAATGTGTGAAAAAAATGATAATGCTAATAGTAGATAACTTATTTATACACCAAACAAAAAAACCAAAGAGTATATCAAAATCTAATACTACGGGGTAGTAGATAACTTATTTATACACCAAATAAAAAAAGATATTCCTTTTGTCTAATACGGAGTAATTATCTTTTCGTTGACTATTCATGGGGTCAATTTTTTTTTCATTTTGTTGGTCAATTTTTGTTGCCTATTTGATAAAATATACAGTCTTGTCTCGAATTTTGAAAATCTATTGATATAGTTTTAAATATATAATTTATAATTTTTTTTAATTCTATACCATTTTTATATTAAATGATTTAAAAATACTACCATAATTCACTAACAGTCAATGAGGTATTCCTACCAGTATTTGAAAAACATTTTCCACCGTCACAAATGTTACCGTATACATACTCCAGTAAAAACTTCAGTATGCGTATCCTTTCCTTCCTCCATGCTGTATAATAGTACTTGGAAATTGGAAATATCCAGAGAAAACAGGCCGGTGACTAATTCGTTATCCCTCCACCGCGTCAAAAATTCCGGCGACTATCCGATCTCTACCCAACCATCTCTATGGCCAAAATCAGTAATCTATCGGCGATGACCAGTATAGAATGAGGAGGAGAATCGTCAAAGTTCAATCATCATGCCAGTCTCCTGCCCTGACATCTTCTCCGATCTGCTCTGCGGAGAGGATTCCGGTAGCGTCTTCTCTGGAGGCGTTGGAGAGTCGCCGGAGTACTCATCATCGGATCTTACAGAATCTCCTCTTGCCGATCCCGATCTCGACGAATCCATCGCTGGTCTAATTAACGACGAGCGAAATTTCGTCCCTGGAATTGACTACGCCGAGCGATTCCATTCTCAATCAATTGACGCCGCCGCCGCCAGAGGCGACTCCGTCAATTGGATTCTGAAGGTATAGACTATAGACTATAGAATAACTGAATATCAATTCGCGATGGATTATACTACGCGCGCTTTCTGAACATCAGAAGCTCTGAATGTAACGCGCCGCCGGACTCCCGCGTATGAAATACGCCATTGATTTCGTATATCAGTATATCTTCGGTCTGTTCACTGTTCAGGCGGCGCGTTTTAGAACGCTCGGTTCCGCCGGCGGTTTTACACACCGAAATCTGTTAGTTATTAAACGCCGTTTGACACTTTAACTGTTCCGCGCAGGTGCAGCAACGCTACGGTTTCCAGCCACTCACGGCGTACCTTGCCGTCAATTACTTTGATCGTTTCATCTACGCTCGCCGCCTACCGGTAAATTAATACTCCCTCCCTCCCTAAATAGATTACAATTTTTTTTCTCTCTCCTCTCGATAACTTTTGTTTGTTTACGCGATTTTATTAAGTATTTGATAAAATAAAATATTCTTGTCACCTCTTGTTTTGTAGAACTTTTGACATAGTTTTTTAATATGTAATTTTTATATTTTATTGATATACCAATTTACAAATAAAATGATTTCAAAAAATAGAAAATTTCACTCCGTAACACGCAATTTGTAATCAAATTGGGGACGGAGGGAGTATCTCTCAAGCGTTTTCGTTTTTAATTTCACTTAGAAAAAGGGATAATATGGATGAGTGTTTATAAAATTATATATACACTTTTTTTTTGTTCATTACAAAATTAATTTTCATTTTGTTTTCAATTATTAGGCATACATTTTTCATCATTTAATTACGAGGTATTTTCCCCTCATAGTGATCTTTTATTTAGAAAGAGAGTAATGGGTAAAGGTAAAAGAGACTCTTTAAAAAAAAAGAATTTATACATTTGTTGACTAATTTCATTACTTATGCATTATTCAACAAATGTATAAAATTTTATACATTATTCAACAAATGTATAAAATTTTATACATTATTCAACAAATGAATTATATGACTATGATATTTTATTAAATAAGTAATGAAATTAGTCAACAAATGTATAAAATTTTATCATGTGAATATTGAATAATTTTTTTATAAGGAGTATCAAAGTTTTTGTTGTTGTTGATCCTTTCGTCCAAAAGATCTACTAAAACACGAGTTGACATAATTACACGGGATATGATTTTAATAAAAAAGTAATAAAAATAAAGCGTGGGAAATAAAGATTATAAAGTTTGATCTTGAATACTTAGTCACTCTAGTATTATTCTTATTATTCTTAGGAATTTGGATCCCTATAGTAGGTAAGCTTTACAACAACTAACAACATGTGATCAATGCATTTCAAAGAGAAAAATAAAGTGTGAAAACCAAAAATGAAACCCACACTTATAAAATGGGGAATTGATGGAACACTGACTTTGTTTTAGAGACCGAAGGAATAAATTTAAAAACAAAGACGTTTTGACTTTTTTAAAGACTATGAAATGGACTTTACTATTCCATGAGTGTCCCACTAAGTATTTTTAGCATTAACCTATTTGTATACCAAAATTTGTACTCCCTCCGCCCCTGTATTTGTCCACATTTGACTTTTGGAACTGTTCATTTAAGCACTTTGACTCATCAAATTCTTTCAATGTGTAAGTCTAAATATAGTCATGTGTGATCTTGTTTGATTTGTCTTAACATATAGATTATTAATATATAATTTTTATAATTTTTTAATATACAAATTACAAGATAAAATGAATTAAAGAAGTGCATTGGATGGTGTGTAAAAATGAAAGTGGACAAATACAGGGGGACGGAGGAAGTACTAATTTTGTATCTCAAAGGCATGTACCGACATTTTGTGCTAGTATGATGATTTACATGGACAAAAAATGTCATTACAATTTTTTTCAATTGAACTAACATTTTTTGCCAGTATGAACCGTTAAAATGTCAGTACATTTCTTTGGGTACACTTTTATTATTTTTAACCTTTTATGAGAGAAGTAATAGTCTCTAGGTGGATAGGGAAGAGTGTAACGTTAGTGTGGGGGGTCACAGCACATTTCTTTATTGCCCATTATCTTTCGTATCATGACAACCATAGTGCGTGCCCTCTCAAGGTGACACCAATGTATCTTTTTTTGTCCTTTATCTGATTTACTTGGATTCTCTAAACGAAATAGTAAACACAACCCCACCTTTGACACCACATCTCATAAACACACACATATATAATACGGAGTACTTCATTTTTATCTGTCCCATTCGTTTTTCGATCTCAATGTTTGAACAGTAATATCTTTTAAATATTTACCAAAAAATTATTATATTTAAAATATTTCTTGATACCAATAATTTGGTATATTTTTTTATATTTTAATTTATTGTATATACCTAATCAAACATTTGACACCAAAACGAAACAAACAAAATATGTCTATATACCTATTTATACATATATGTATGTATATATAGGGTAAGGTCTGCCTACACTTAACTTTTTGACTCTTAAGATCCCAATTGTAAGACTTGATTCTCAGCTCTCTAATGATGAACTCTACCTAGTTGAATAACAAGATAATGTTTTTCATCTTGTAGCCATGGTTCTTAAACCATTATGAATTTGTTTAATCACAGTTAAAGAATGGTTGGCCGGTGCAACTACTGTCCATTGCTTGTCTATCATTAGCTGCTAAGATGGAGGAATCTCTGGTGCCATCTCTATCCCAACTTCAGGTATTAATTAGTACGTACTCCGTAATTAACTCTTTTAAGCCTAGATTAAAACTAACATCAATTAAACATTAACATATAAACTCATGAACATGAATTATGGAACATATAGGTTGAAGGTGTGAAATACATGTTTGAGCCAAAAACGATACGGAGAATGGAGCTTCACGTGCTTACCGTGTTGGATTGGAGGCTAAGAACCATTACACCCTTCAGCTTCCTCCCCTTCTTTGCCTACAAACTCGATCCCACTGGGACATATACGGGTTTCTTCATCTCAAAAGCCATTGACCTTATTTTGTCAAACATACAAGGTACATACGTGCACACAATTAGTCATCGTACACTCCATATCAAACCAATGGTCTCATAAGACATGTTTGACCAATCTGTGTTGGTCGGACACGTTTGATGAATGGGAGCATTATCATTAGATTCATTTATAAAATGTTGGTCATGACGATAATATAAGATCTATAAATGTTAAAGAGGCTAGCTTTCTTGGGTACTGGCCTTCATGCATTGCTGCTGCAACAATGCTTTGCGCGGCCAACGATCTACCAAATTTTGCTTTCGTCAATGCTGAGCACGTTGAATCGTGGTGCTTTGGACTCGTAAAGGTAAGAAAATAAAAAAATGCCACTCACACCAACATGCGGCACACACTAGTACAAAATGTCCGTGCGTGGGACACACACTAGCCCAAAATGTACGTGCAACACATGCATTTTGTGTCAGTGTGTGCCAGTGCAAAACATGATGTACCCCATGTTGGTGTAAACCTAGCACAATTGTAAGAAAACTTGCTATGCGTAAAGGTATTAGTACTAATAAAAACTTACTATGTGTTGCAGGAAACCATCATTAGTTGCTGCCAATCAATGAAGAAAGTTCCCATTGAAATAAGAGCAAATAGATTTCCAAAAGTTTTGCCCGAGGTTCGAGTCATGGCCTGGGCTGGTTCATCATCGTCTAGCGACGACGCATCATTGTCCCCTTCTCATAAAAGAAGGAAACTAATCCATAACAGCCCATCATCGTCGGATTAAGATCAAATTGGGAGGAGGATCTTGGGGTCATTTAATCACAATCCTCTGCATTTTTTTCTTGGAGGTGGTCACAAAATAATTCTTAAAAATCCCAAAAAATAAAAACAACCAAATGAATCGAAGATAATTATTTTTTTGTCATTACTGTGTGTGTGTGTGTGGGTACTATAAGTACAATAAGATATATGTTGTTTTTTTTATTGGGCTTCCTCGTGGAAAAAGGAATTCCATAACGCCACTACAATTAAAGCTGGCTTTGAGTTGCAAATTCGTTCCAAGGGGAGGGGTTTGTCTGGTAATACACACACACTCACACAGTATACTATGGTATTCATAGTTATTTTGGTGCAACTCTGGTGGTGTATCAGTTTCGATACAAATAGCGATAAATATATCCGTGTCCAATTTAAATTTGAAAATGCCATAAAAAAAATTTCATTTTTGAAAAATAAAAATTACATTTTAATAAAGAAACATAAAAAACCAAAAAAAATTAACCATCAAATGCAACAAATGATTATGAAACTCAATTTATATTTCACAAACTCAAGAGAATGAATGATAACAAAATGGTATTTTCAAATGTGTGTTAACATTTTTAAATTCATCTACAAAAAATTGAAAATTGAACTAAGCTACAATGTATGCACAATAAAATTTGAATGAGATTTCAAAATAATCTTATTACCTAATGAAGAAAATTTACAAGATTACCCCGTATTATATTTATAATAAATTCTTATGTATATTCGGTTTGAGATTTTTGATATGGAAAATTATCTCGTATCATTCCCAAATTCCAAATCGATCATTTGGTTTTTAAGGAATTTTTTTTATTGGTTCGATACTTGCTCACTCCTATGATTTGGTTCTCATTTGGGCTTAATGCCTCAAATGCATGAAAAGCCCATTTTATAATAAACAACATATCCAATTCTTCGCTATGAATCTGGACCGGCTCTCTCATCGTATTGCTCTCGAAGCGTTCAATAATTTTCAGCAATTCCAACAATGCACTAAAAGGAAGACGAAGGGAGTATATTATTGAAACATGTCAAGTCTTTAAACATGTGAAAAATAAGAGTTATACTCCCCCGTTCCTATTTTGATTCTACATTAAGACTTACAAGTCAAAACATTTCGTTTTTGAAATCATTTTATTAATAGATTGATACATCAGTAAGACATAAAAATTACATATTAAAAAGTATGTCAAAAATCATATGAAACGAGAGGAAACAAAAATATTTTATTTTAATAAATAATCAATGAAAATACACAAATATACAGAAGTTATCGTGAGAAAAGATAAAGAGATTAGGATCTATTTCAGGACGGAGAAAGTATTACTTTGTGACAAAAGAGTTTTGGATGGTTAAACTCTCTTAAGTTTAGGAATCTTTCAATCGAGTGGAGGGATTTGCTTGAAAACATAAGAGTTGCCATTTTAGCCGACAAACATGAGCTCAACACCCCAAGTTAGTGCTAGTATAATTAAGAGTAAATTCTATAATTAATCTTGTATAATAGGGAGTTTTCATATCTAGTCCATTATTAACAAATATTACCTTTGTAACCCTTTTTATATGAGTATCTTTCCATATTTAGTTTTTTTGACATTCCGTCATGTTGGTATCAATTTCAAAGCTAAAAATATATTTTCACATCGACCTCATGTCCTTGTCATAACCAATACAAGAGGTCGCATAACCAATGCAAGAGGTCGCTACTGATGTGATGTTTGTTAGCTGGAGTCATTTTCATTGCAACCATGGTTTACAAATGTCATCTCTCATCAGAATCCTAGTCCACAACCATACTTATTATTATTTTGTTATCCGTTAAACAAACATCAGAATAAATGATTAGACATAAGGTCGACGTGAAATTATACTTTTAGTCCTCAAATTAACATCAATATGACAGAAGATCAAAAAAACACTAAATATGGAAAGATACCTATGTAAGAAAACCCAAGGAAGTAATCCTTGATAATAATTGACTAAATATGAAAAATCTCATGTAGAATTTATTCTATAATTAAGCAGGGTAAGAGACTATTGACATGGCTATGGCAGCATGTCGATGACTGACTTTGATGATCGACGACGGTGGTAGACCGTCGATGACTGGCAGCAACAAACCGACGACATGCGGCAGTCAGCGGTCAAAGTCCACGATTATTATTTTTCGACTTGGTAAGCTTTGTAGTTACCTTAGGTGAACTTTGGAGTTGATAGTGGTGAGCTTTGTGTTATCTACATGTCATCTCACCAAAACATCTCACCAAAACTTGTCATTTGAACGAAGTCAATTACACACACACACACAAGGATCCTAATATCAAATTTGGTGTCAAGGTTTTCGAATTTTATAACTTCATTCGAGTTTAGCCATACATTATTTTCACATGAGCAATCTTTAAAATATGCATTATTTTCATCATGGTATATGACTTACAATGTATTGTCTCCTTTTGTATGTGGTCGAACTTGCTAAACACGAATTACTCTAACATTAGCTGAATAGTTTGATAGGTGTGCTTTTGTCCAGCCCATTACAACATTTCACCTGCCTTTCTACAAACTCCAAAAGGATCCTACATTATACACTATGTGTCTATGCTATTTAAGAGAGTTGATTAATTTTTAGGATTCAGACCAAATAAATTAGTATTATATGTTAAAAAATTTATTATTATGTGCTCGTCAGAATCTCTATTAAATGTAACACACTAACTCTATTATCAACAATTGTGTCTTTATAACACATGTTTAGATGTCAAATATTCATCACACCTCAACTAATGTGCAAGCTGTTTCTAATGAACGTAAAATTTAAAGAAATCATTAATAAGTGTATTTTTCTTGAATCTTGTAGAATATACGATCTAGTTTTGATATTGCTGCATGACTCTCAATAAAATATTTCTTGGACTACAAAGAAATTTTTCTTTTAATGAATATGTGCACCCATATCTTAACTTTTCTCCATTCATTTAATTATTTTGTAACTTTTCAAAGCCAAATATATATTTTTTTCAATTCCATGTGTCAAACGGGTTCAAAAATATATATCCAAATTCATAATATAATAACAAGGTTGGATGTTGAATCTTGACAATGAATATGATAGGATTCATATTTCATCCATACATGTGAATTTCTGTAAACAACAATAAGTTAACACGACTTTTCTAAGAAATCAGAATTCCAATTTAAGTAGTGAAGAATTACCTCCTGGTCATGAATGACAATTTGTTCAAGTTGTGAGTGCGGAGTATGTTTTAGCCTGCTTCACACTTGAAATCATTGTTCTTATCTCTGAACTTAAAAAATAATCTGCAATTAATTTTAAGTTTGATATATGATTAGTAATATATAAATATATAATAATTTATAAATTTTATTTTTTATTCATTATTGATTCGTTAAAGAATCAAAGATTTTTCTTCAATAAAAAATTAATTTAGGATTGCAAGGGATAAGTATTAATGTTCATTTTATATCTAATTTATGTAAGTAATATTATTTTCGTATGACTTTATTTCTATGTATTAATTATGGTTCTTTTTAAATATTAGTTTTAATTTATTGTTAAATGTTAAGAGTTATGAAGTAGTTTGAGATGAGAATGAGAGGTGGAGGATCCCATAGTTGTAAAATCCTAGATCCGCCTCTGCTTCATATTGTTTTGAAGTTAATGTAATGAAAACATCTAGTTATTTTTTTAAATTCTTCGGGTTTTAACATTGCAGGTAAGCTCATTCCTACGTTTGACCCTTAAAATGTCTTTGTTCACAAAAGCCCTTAGGTTTTTCTCTATTAGAGTAGTTCTTGAATTTTATCGTAAAAATCTTATCATTAAATGCATTATGGACTACTTTATCACAAAGCAACCCACAGGGAATCTCCTCACTTCTTTAAGTCCTTCTCAACCTAGGTCTAGACCACCAATTTACATATCAAAAGTGGACATATATGGAATTTTAAAACAAACTCCCACACAACACTTTGCCTTGGTGTTTGACTTCTTAAGAAGTAAAGAAGTTGAAGTAGATTATTTAGACTACTCCCATAAGTTGAAGTCTTCTATCATTGTCCAATACCCGCCAGATGCTTCCAAGCACCCTCTTTTGATGAGTATCAAGTTGTTTTATATACTAATGCTTAGGGATAGGAGAGCAAGACATCTACATTCTTTGTAGGCATAGTTGTCTTTCATTTTGATGGTAAGCAGTGGATAGGAGAGAAGTTTGCAAAAGAGATCACTACTACTTGTGTTTCTCACGCAGAATATATAGTCTCGTGGGAGGGTCTTCAAGTTCTTTAGCAGAAGAACTTATATATGAAAAAGGTGTTACATTTGTGTGATTCTGACGTCCACTTTTAAAGAGTTAAGAAGTTCGTGATGACTCCTCAAGTTTACTTATTCAGTTTTAGAGATAAAATAACTTAGAAACATTATGCATTTCAATTTTAGAGGTAAAATAACTTAGAAACATAATGCATTATGTTTCTAAGTTATTTTTACTTCTAAAACTGAAATAAGTCAACCTGAGGGGTCATCAAGAACTTCGTAACTCTTTGAAAATGGACGTCAGAATCACACAAAAACAACATCTTTTCATATATAAGTTCTTCTGCAAAAGAACTTGAAGACCCTCCCACGAGGCAATAGATTCTGCCTGAGAAACACTAGTAGTAGTGATATTTTTTGCAAACTTCTCTCTCACCCACAGCTTACCATAAAAATAAAAGACATATGCCTACAAAGAAGGTAAATGTCTTGTTCTCCTATCCCGAAGCATCAATATATAACACAACTTGATACTCATCAAAGGAAGGTGTTTGGAAGCATGTGGGAGAGTATTGAACAATGACAGAAGACTTCAACTTTTGGGACTAGTCTAAATAATCTACTTCAACTTCTTTACTTCTCAAGAAGGCAAACACCAAGACAATATGTTATGTAAGAGTTTGTTTTAAAATTGCATACATGTCCATTCTTAATATGCAAATTGATGGTCAAGACCAAAATTGAGGAGGACTTGAAGAAGGAAGAAAATTTCCTATGAAATGTTTTGAGATAAAGTTATTCGCATTGCGTTTAATTTTACGATAAAAATCAAGAACTACTTTAGTAGAGAGAAACCTAAGGGCTTTTGTGAACAAAGACATTTTAAGGATCATGTGTAGGAATAAGCTTACCTGCAATGTTAAAACCCAAAGAATTACAAAAAATAATTACATGTTCCCATTACATTAACTTTAAAACAATATGAAGTAAGACGCAATTAATTCATGTTTTATACGGAGTACCTAGAAAAGATAGAAATATAGACTTTTAATTAATTCATATTTGGCCTAAATACAACTTTCAGGACAATTGTGACATTGTTTATTGTGGAGATTATTCCAACTATTTTTTTGAATAATGTTAATTGCAGATTATTTTTTAGGTTCAGAGGACAAGAAAAATGATTTCAAATGCGAAACAGGCTAAAAGATACTTTGTGCTCACAATTGAACAAATTGTCATTTATGACAAGGAGGTAATCCTTCACTACTCGCAATCCATAGTACAACTTCATCCATTTCACATGGTTAACTTGTAATTCTGAGTTCTTAGAAAAGTTGTGTTTCTTATTGTTGTTTACAAAAAATCACATGTATGGATGAAATATGAATAATATCCTATTCATTGTCAAGATTCAACATCCAACCTTGCGATTATGATTTTGAATCTAGATTTTTAGATCTAGTTGACACATGGAATTGAAAAAAAAATCGCTTTGAAAAGTTATAAAATAGTTAAATGAATGAAGTGAAGATATCGGTGCATATGTTCATTAAAAGCAAACTTTCTTTGTAATTCAAGAAATATTATTTCAAGAGTATCATGCTGCCATATCAAAACTAGACCATATATCCTACAAGATTCAAGAAAAATACACTTATTAATGATTTCTTTTAATTTTACGTTCATTAGAAACAACATGCACATTAGTTGAGGTGTGATGAACATTTGACATCTAAACAGATTGATAAAGACACAATCGTTGATAATAGAGTTAGTGTGTTACCTTTAAATGTAATAGAGAAGTGATTCTGACGAGCACACAATAATAAATTTTTTTAACACATAATAATAACTTATTTGGTTTGAATCCTACAAATTAAACAATTTCCTTAAGTGGCATAGACACATAGTATATAATGAAGGATACACAATGAAAAATTGTTAGAGGTTGTTACCTTAAGATATTGAAGAAATCACTCCAATAGAAAATTCTAATAATTTATCAAACACACGTGTATATATTTCAAAAATCTTTTCCAAATAAGCAGAAATATTTCTTTTAAGATTTATCAAAGTAGCTTTGTATCTCAAATGGGCTTTGCCATAAAATAAAATACCCATAATATGTTTTTAAGAATATACGAGTATAGAGTTTGAAAGTTAAATGTATGTAAAAATGTTAGATTACAAAGTATAAGTTTTTTAAAAAACACTCTTTGAATACTTCTTTAAGAATATTTTTTTCATCATATACAACACTAACACTATGTTTGGTTCAAGGAATTCAAAAGAGAAAAGAAAAGAAAATGAATTGGAAAATAGGTTTTCTTGTTTGGTTAAAAAGGAAAAGTGGAAGGAAAAGAGAATGAGAAAGCAAAATGTCCCAAGTAGAGGAAAATTCAAATTCCTCCCATTTTTGTGAGAAAAATGAGAGAAAACCATTTTTATTTTCTTTTCCTTCAAAATTCCTTGACCAAACATAGTGTAAAAGTTATTCAAATACACAAACAGAAGAATTCTTACATTTTCTCCGGCAAAGCTGTTGCAATAGCGAATCAAAAATAATTCCTGCAGGGAATTTGGGGGCTTGCAAAGCTGTCAACCACAATGAGAATTCACTTTCTTATGAGCCAAAATAAATATACGGCAAATCTTCATTGTATTGATGGAAGGGGAATACAACACATACCTGTTCAGAAATTGATTCCAAACTATCATTTCCAAACGGTGATAATAATTTTGGGACTTCAGTTTAAAACTTTCGGGTCTAAACTCATTTTTGAATGGGACAAAGAGCAAGTTACGATAGAAGTTTCCCGTAAACTAATGCAAATGTAGTAGAAATATTTCCGAAACATCTATGGAAAAAAACATAGAATTTAACATAAAATCTATAAACATAAGCAATGTATACACAGTTTAAGGCACCAAAAATCCTTGAACTTACAAAATGATGTTGTGAGCTTTTATTTTAGTGCTTGCGTAGAAGACAACAACAACAACCCAGTTAAATCCCACAAGAGTAGGGTTTGGGGAGGGTGTGTGTACGTAGACATTACCCTTACTCGAAAGTAGAGAGGCTGTTTCCAAAGAGACCCCCGGCTCAACGTCGAAAGTTGCATTGCTTGACTAACTGCTACTTCATTAATTAAAGAAGCACAGACAGTTTAGAGATCCATTTTGATTTATTCCATCACACCCCAAAGCCAAAAAATGGTGAGATTTTGGCTCCATCGGAGATGATGCTTGTGTAGAAGAATTCATGCAAAGATTAAACATCCACAAATACCACAATTCAAACCCAATATCAATGAAGGAATATAAAGGGTTGGAATCTTTCGGTTCAAGACAACTAGAAAAATCTTTGCATGAATTCTTCTAGTAAGCAAAATCTAATCCCCTTAGATCCTTCAATGTATTAATGGAGTCTAGTAAGCAAAAAGGTCTAACACAGAAAAAGGTCAAGCATTTAGTGTCTATGTTCTAGCAAAATCTTTCAATGTTTATTGGATTAACACGGTCTAACACAGAACTTTAGATTGTATTAACGGAGTCTAGTAAGCAAAAAGGTCAAGCATTTCATGATGATAAACGTAGCATTGAGCAAAGCAACAACTGTGGCAGTTCTAGAAATGGGTGTATAGGACAGACCTGGCTAGCTATAGCCTCATGATGGCATATTCCACTCCAATTATAGTATTTTTTAATAAACAACATGTATAGATAATGTTTCTAAAGAAGAAGAAATATGTGTAGTAAATTTCACTGTTTACTAAAGAAAAACTAATCCCCTTAGATCCACAAAGAACAGAATGCACAATTAAACCTGTAAACATGTAGATATGTGTAATAGAAGTATAGAATATAAGGATTCACTCGTTTTCTTGGAATTGAATGTTCCCTCTCAAATCATTCATAGAAAAAAAAAACAGGTGAAAAACAAAGGATTCCAAAGGAAACAAGTATATTGTGTAAAAATACCAGTGCAGAACAAGTACTCGCAAATCCGTTGAAATCAGCCAAAACCAGCGATATGAATTCCCGTCTCGACCGAAAACAAAGCTGAGAAGAGGGAGGTCACCGCCCGCCGGAGACAGGCGGCGACTCGGGCGAGGATAGAGTATGGAGCAACGGCGAGTGTGGGCTCGATAGTCTTAAGATCTACTCTGTCATCTCGGCTATGGATTTGAGAAGGTTGGGCCGGGTGATGCGGCCCATCTGTCCTGCTTTCAATATTTCAAAAACACAATCCTGGCTAGGAGTGTGCACGATCCAAACCCGCACCAGACTGAAAACAGAATAAGTGACATTTCTTAGGCCAAAGACTACACCGAAAAGTTAGGTGAAAAACATAAGTTATGATGATGCAAAACAAAAAAGTAATATTGGAAAAAATAAAATCATTTTATTCATTATCCCACAAAGCATCATAATCATAACTAACTACGGAGTATATACAATAAAATCATTTTTAATATAAATAGTACGTTAATCATGAAATCATAATCAATGATCCTCACAATGCTATACAACAACTAGTGGCCTAGCATAACCTAACTTACCATTGTACATCACACAAGATTCTTTATTTGTCAAAAACATCATACTTAATTATAAAAATCATTTCCATTTTGGTCATAATCAAATGTATCAAAAATAGGATTTATAGCTTCAAAATCAACATTTTTGAACTTAAAAATGTTTGTAATGGTAGACCATTGAGTCTGAATGGTCGATCATACCAGTCTAGACCAAATGCAGTCGTACGATACCTTAACACGGCATCTCGGTATCGTGACACGGTACCTTGGTACTGTTAAACGGTATGTAATTACTGTATATGCGCAAAGAGAAATGTAAGTCATTATTCGTCATCTTCAACCTTAAACCCATTTTTCTCAAACTCCAATTTGAGTCACCAAAATTCAACTAAACCATATAGAAATGTTTTTCAAGGTTCGCAGATCATTTTAAAATCGTCAAATCGAAGTTTTAACAACAAATTCAAGATTTATAATTCTTGGTTCTTCAAGCACGTCAAACACAAAACTTAACCAAATGGTCATTTATTAACATGGAAATGATCTATATGAACATTCTAATCACTAGATATATCTAAGGGCTTACATCGAAGCTTAACAAAGATTCCAACAATTGAACAACAAAACTTCCAACGACTACCATGGTTTCCTCTGGAGACCTCAGGCTCTCCGGTCAGCACCATTGTATTCCACACAATCTCAGGAACAGAATAGAAGGAAGAGTTGAAGGGCTTGGTGAAGAATAGGGAGAGTTAGTTTCCCTTATATAGTGAATGTGAAGAAGAAGACAATTGTTAGAGTTGTTGCTGTGTAGGATTCCCACACTCTGCTCTTACGTTCGGCTATAGCATGGTTTAGGGGAATTTAGCATGCTTCTTCATTGATTGGGACTTAATTTAATCCCAGTCGTAGTACACGTTTTGAACCAACTTTTTCTGAATTGAATTCCGATTATACTGTTGCGTTTGTAGTTTGTACAATTAAACTCTATCAAACGATATAATTTTTATATTTATTTGAAATATTTTTTCCGAAATCATATTTTGAGTGTTTGATTTTGACAGAATCAAAATTGATTTAATTAATCTTTTATTCAAAAGACTATCATTTTGTTTACTCCAACGATTTATTTTAATAAATCATCTCAATAGTTTACATCAATCAACAATTCTTTATTTATTCTTTATTTTGCATCTTTACTCTGGTTCTCAATCAAGATTACACAATTAGTCAACATATTATATTTATTTCCAAGAGATTTATTCAAACTGTGATATTAGATATTAAAACATATTTTATTTTTGTCAAAGGCCTTTATTTTGATGAAAATATATTTGTATAATTGAATAATAATTCAATATAATTTTTAGGATATATTTTAAGGCGTTACAGAATCAATCCATGTTTAGACCCGATAATAAACACCCCTTGGTCCGGCATTACTTCGAGCCACATGGAAATTATACTAAACCAAACAACTAAAATGGAACTTAAGAGTATCTCCAACCACAATGGCTAAATATGGCTTGCTAAAGTCTTTTTTTTAGCATGTGAATAATAGTATAGTAAGTCATTTTATATTGTCATCTCTAACCTTCACTTGTTATAATTTAGCTAACAATTACATTATATTGTTTTCACTAGTATAATACACTCTTTTTAATAATCATTCAATTATTATTTTATATCATTAAAATTTAGTAATAAGTATGTAATTTATAAAATAATAATTTCAAAAAAAGATACGGAGTATTCTTTTAACTTAGGGAAAATAATTCTATGTATACTACCTCCGTCCCACTCTTTTTGTCCAGTTTTGACTTTTGGAACTGTTCATCTAAACACTTTGACTCATCAAATTCTCTCAATGTGTAAGCCTAAAAATAGTCATGTGTGATCTTGTTTGATTCGTCTTAACATATAGATTATTAATATATAATTTTTATAATTTTTTAATATACAAATTACAAGATAAAATGGGTTAAAGAAATGCATTGGATGGTGTGCAAAAATGAAAGTGGACAAAAAAAGTGGGACGGTGGGAGTATACATAGAATTATTTTGAATATTTAATAAATATCAATTAAAGAGTAGAGAAAAAAACTTTACAAAAAATAAAAAATTAGAGAGTAGGAGTAACTACATATTTTGAGGAGAATGAGAGAAAAGAGGAGAGAAATCAAATACTGAATATGTAGTAATTAATATCATAGTTTGCAATATTTTGAAAGGCTTGTTATATATAACAATCCAAAGTTAAAATTTACCAAATACGGAGTATGTTATAACATAGCAAGCCCCTTGGAGCACAAAAATCAAAAGGAATTGTCAAATAATGACAATTAACAAGTCAAAACTCAATGGTTGGAGATGCTCTAAGTATCCTCAATTTATATGATAATTAAATATTCATTTCTCAGAATTCATAATAGGCAAAAATCTTGCTTCGATTTTTCATATTTAATGAGTTTTTACATCGAAAATTGACTAATTTGAAAAAAATCATTATATATGATTAGTTTTTTAAAACGGATGGAGTATTTCTTAAACTTCATTAAAGTCAATATTGGACCGAAGATAATATAAAAAATAATGGTGAATGGAATTTTTCGTTGGGCATTGGCTTCAGTGGCAGTATGAATATGAACAATATATTTTTATAGATATCAACCAAAGGAAGAGATCTTCTTTGTTCGATCTGATAACTGATTAGTTCTAATGTGATTAAAATAAGTTCTCATATAAACTAGTCTATTCTAATTATATATAGTTATATTTTAAACTATTTCAGGACTGATTTTAATAATTATAAATAATAAAAAATAAGTCAAGGAAAACATGACCTTAAACACTAATCACATCCTAGTGTATGGAATGACACACATCAAATTCTTTATAAGTGGGAGTTGATTTTGCAAATTTATGGTGTAGTGGGTTTAGTCCCAAGCATATATATAAGCTTGTATCAATAGATGACTATCAGATGTATAAGTAACATTGAAGATTCATCATCACTCAGTGGGAAATTTTCCAAGGAGCAAACATGTCTTTTTAATTGCAAGCATGCTTTCTCTTCGAACTATACACAAAAGTAGGGTAACGCGCGCAATTACTAGCTTCATCATCGATCATTAGAACAAACCTGCAAATCGTCTTGAAAATTTGATTTTTTTGCTCAACTCAGTGAGTTGTACGTCAGCTCACGGATTCGGAAATGCTTTGCAAGGAAGGACGCCACTGTTTAGAGCTGCCTCCTGCAGCATTGCTTGGTTGCCCAGACCTCGCCCGTTGTCTTTCACATCTTTTGGCCTGGAAATTTACTCAATTAGTTACAACATATTCCTCAACGAGTTACATTCAAAATGATCTGGTTGGTTGTCTACTTGAATGAGATGCTAGAATATCACACAACGGAAACTTAGAGAAAATTAACTGATTAATAAGATGTCTGAGTTTGTTGAGGAGATAGTCCCAAACCATAACTTTTGTTGGCTAAGGTGGATGTTGGATTGGAGAGAAAGCCTTTCAATCTTTGTAAATTATAGATATTGTTTATTTTCAATTCAATTCATGAGTTCATTCACATTTCAGTTCAGTTCAGTTCAGCTTGAGCAGTTCTGAGTAAGCAATTAACTATGAGTTCAGTTCAATGTGTCCATTCTCACATCATTGAAAAGAACAAACCATAAGTCACCCTAACCAAAATGAGTTTATTCAAAGCATTTAACCGCCAGTAATATATATGTCCTGCAAAATGGTTTAAACATGTCTCTTTTGTAAAATCATGTCCTTTTGAGGATTGAATTGTGGGTTCATCGAACTTAATCATGCGATTTCACCTTTATTAGTAACTATGTCCAGTCAATTGTGAAATTTATTTCACGACGTTAGATTCGTTGGGCATGAAAGTGTTCAAAAAAAGAAGAAGGAATGATACATGAAATTTCAAAATTGTCAGTGTTATAGGGGTGTTCACTGCTCTAGATGCATGGAATATATCATGATAAGACAATGGTATGACTCATTGTATGAGCCTCCAGTTCTTTCAAGTTCCAATTTTTTTCAAGTAAATGCAGTTCAATACTCCTACTGGATTTTAAGTTGTGTTCATTTCAATACTTTTTAGCTATGTTATACGGATTCTTCATATAAGTGGCACATCATGTTCCCGAAAATGTCCCATTTGAACACTTGGAGATGTCCCGACATCCAAATTAAATCCTTTATAAATCAGAAAAGTGCACTGTTTATCCCCAAATTCCTTGAAAATTACACGGTTTATCCATGATCATTAAAAAGTGAACCATATACTCTCGAATTCTTCAGAAATTCTACAATTTACCCGTCAACATTAAAAAGCGCACCAAATACCCCTGAACTCTTCAGAAATTGCACGGTTTACCTCTGAACGTTTAAATAAAAACGATAATTTTGGAAAAGGGTATTTTGGAGAGTTCACAAAGGCTAGATGAATCATACACTCAATTTATGTACATGAGAACAACACACTCCCTATCTAGCATATTAGGACCAAATTATTTATGAATATTCAGGGTAAATTGTACAATTTTCAAAGAATTCAAGAGTACACGGTGCACATTTGACGGTGAACGTTTGAACGTATCCCACCCGTCCTCCCAGGAGCCCCTCTAGCCTCTAGGTGCTAACTTTACTTAGCTTTTTAGTTCAACTCAATAGTAAATCCAACACTTTTCACAAATAACATTCAAATTTAAATTATTACCCGAGTAAACTTCAATTTTGATTTTTTACTACGTATGATTGAGGTGGGTAATTAAACCAATTAAGTCAAAAATTGGCATAGCAATCATGACATACAGAGCCCATAAATGCAATTATTAATCGCTTAATAATGAATTTAATTACCTGATTAATCCTCTCGGCCGGTCCTGACTTGAGAGCTTCATCTTCTTCTTCTTCCCCACATGGTCTTTGCTGCTGCAGATTCTCTGATGAAATCTTCTTCTTCATCTTTGCACTCTTTTTAGCCTTCAAAACCTTCATCACCTCTGCAATTAATAATAATCGCCAAAATTGAGCTTAAAAAAACGCATGTGTGTATACATATAGTAGATGAAATTAAATAACAAGCAATTGGAAAACCTTGATTGGTGATCAGCCGATAAGCTCTGCCGAGAACCAGGGTGTCCGTGGGCCGGAGGAGTTTGACGCGGGTGAAGCGCACGGCCCCGGCGTCTTCGTCGGGAGCGGGAAGGGGGATGATGAGGGACACGTGGTGGCCGGGATTGAGTTTCATGACTTCGCCGGCGGTGAGCGGCCAGTACATCCGCTCCAGCTTTCCGCTGGGGTGTTGTATGACCAGCGCCGCCGCGTCCACAGCCTGGCAATTTCCCATCTATCTCTTCTCTATGGATTTTTTCAATTATATTTCTCTATGGGTGTGAAATGAAAAGAATTGAATGAGAGGATGATGATGATGGGAGGGAGTGGGAGAAATGAGGATAATGAGAAAAGAATTAAACTATTTGTACCTCCAAACTTGTAGAGAGTATCTCAAAGACATGCATAGACATTTTGTATTAATGTAATGCTAGTGTTTAGGTTTATATTGACAAAAAAATATCAGTACAAAATTTTTAATTAAATTATATTTTGTACCAGTTTAAATCGTTAAAATATCAATAAATTTCTTTGAAGTAAAATTCGGGATACACTTTTTGGTATTTCTTCCGTCCCAAAGTATTTGTCCACTTTCATTTTTACACATCATCTAATGCACTTCTTTAATCCATTTTATCTTGTAATTTGTATATTAAAAAATTATAGAAATTATATATTAATAATTTATATGTTAAGACAAATCAAACAAGATCACACGTGACTATATTTAGGCTTACACATTGAGAGAATTTGATAAGTCAAAGTGCTTAAATGAACAGCTCCAAAAGTCAAAAGTGGACAAAAACTAGGAGACGGAGGGAGTATATCGCTACTATAGTTGATAGAAAAATATAGGGCATGCAAATATGCTAGAGGCAAATATGCTAAGCATATGATTTCTGCAAATATCAAGAGCAGATTTCACTGTTTATTACTCCCTCCGTCATATAATGATCTTCCCAGAGCACTATTCTAACTTCACGGGAATTTATATTTATTTGTGTTTTTTCATGGCCTATATGATAAAATAAAATATTTTTGTCACCACTTGTTTTGTTGAACTTTTGGTGTAGTTTTTAAATATGTATGTTTTATTTTTTATTTCTATACCAATATTTAAATAAAATAGATTGAAAAAATTTGGGATTTTTCTTCGTTTTGCGAATCAGGAAGATCATTATAGGACGGAGGGAGTACTAATCTACGATAAAAATTTAATTTACCTCCTTTAAGTGATCCTACCGGGTATGAGGGAACCTTCGGGAACAAGAATAATCTTTTTTTTTACTTTTAAATAGAAAAATATAGGGGGTTAAACGGCCCACTCAACTACCCACCAGCAGACGTCACCTCCGGACCCCGCTGGATGTGTCTCGCTCAGTCACGCCTTCGAGATAGTATCATTTATCCATGTCCCACTATTTTATTGCCTTTAGGGTGTTCACATCACTTAAAATATTAATTTAATTTGACCTTTTTTTATTACTTTCTTCATTTTATATTTTTTGGTCAAATTCCTTCAAAAAAAATATTTTTTGGTCAAGTTGTACCATTTTCTATCATGAAATATATATTACTATAAAACTTTGATAATTTAAAATTATATTGTCAAATAAATTCAATTTTAATAAATTTACATTAAAACTAATATACTTTTTCATAACTTGCGTTCAAAAGCGGCCATACTTAAACTAAAACAAAATCAAAGTATGATTATCTTTTAAGTAAAATATATTTCTCTAGTCTTAAAAATTTATCATATCTTGACATTTTTTGGTCAAATAGTACTCCCTTCGTCTCTAATTTGATAACAAATTATGAATTACGAGGCAAAATCTCTAAATTTTATAAATTACTTTATTTACAAATTGATATGCTTCGTATCAATTTTTTATAATATTTATTTATGTAGATTATGTTAAATTTATGGTAAAAAAGAGTTAGTACTTGACTAAAAAATCAAAACAGAGAAAAAGTTTTAAGATCGAAGAAGTATATTTCTTTTGTTTTAGTGTATTTATTCATATTAAGTTTTTTTGTATCAAATTAGAAGAACAGTAGGCCTTAATTTTTTTGTAATGTACAGTATATTATTATAATTAAAAAACTGAATTCATTTAACAAGATAAAGATAACAAAATCAAGGAAGAGAGATGTTATATTTAAAATTTTGACGTGTGATAATCAGGGCTGGGGCACATTCACATCTTGTAAAATACTCCGTACTTAAATACACAAACATATTCAATCAACAAATCAATAAATTTAAACCTATAATTACTTTTAAAATAATGGTTTTGGGTATTCTCATCAATAAAATACGAGTTAGTTTGAGTAATTTTATCTTCAAAATAAAGTAAAATTACGTACTCCCTTTTTAATTTCAAAAAGTTCGGAATATGGCAAGCTGTATCTCATACTCTCTACACAATATAATTTTAGATTTAGAGCATGAGCAATGACAAGTAAAGAAATAGAATGTCACACGATGACGGAGCATATTTCAACCAATTAAAACAGGTCCAGTCATAGAGTGGTAAATGAGTGGAGTGGCAAGTTCTACAATGGCAAGACATTGCTTTCTTCTTTTTTTTTTATTTTTTGTTGTTGTATATTAACTAATAAAAATTATTTTTATCATCTCTTTTAATATACAAATACTCGGTATTTCTATTACGTTTAAAGAAAAAGTTTTTTATATAAAAATAGAAATTGAAAGTAAAAATAAAAATATTTCATATTAAATAATCAAATTAACAAATTTAAAAATTATAATACAAATTAAACAAAATATGCTCTTCCTCCCAGTAGCTGCTCCACAAGCCATTCCATGCCTCGGCCAATACTCGCAGAAAGAGGCAAAAAACAAATTACATGCGAGGAGAAACAAGTCTGGTGCTGATGTGGCAGTGCGTGGAGGTTATTCTCCTCGCCACTGCAAATGCTCTTATATGGAAAAATAAGAAAAGTTCGAGAAAAATGTATGGTTAGATAAGTATATATGGATCAGGGCGGGTATTAAAGAGTAGAACACATTTTTTTTACTGTAAAGAAAACTCAAAAAATCAAAACCATAAATCTGCCAAACTAAAACTCCACAAAACGTTGGGTCTGGCAAAATATGTGCACGCTGACTTGAAAATAGTACTAGTGAACCCAGTTCAAATACAGAAACGCAAACAAAGCACACACAAGAGCACCAACTAAGTACTGAACAATAGTCACAAAGAGGCAAGAAACATACTCCTAGGAATATTAGGAGTAAAAAAAGCAAAAACACGGAGTACTAAAAATAGGAATATTATACTGTACAATAAAAGCATCTGCTAAAATAGAGAATATATATATATATATATATATATATATATATATATATATATATATATATATATATATATATATATATATATATATATATAAAAGCAACTAAGGCTTCCAAGAAGAGCGGTGTCGTTCCTCGCGGTTGTTGCGGAAAGCGCAACATCCGACAGAGTAGACGACTACGAGGATGACGAGGAATGCGATGTTGAGTTTGGCCACCTTCTTCCAGTTGGACTTGATGTTGTCGATCAGCCCGGCTTTGCATGACTGGCAGCTGTAGCACAACCTGTTCGGGTCATTGCCCCAAAGATCACAGTCCGTGTTGGGCCTGATGGGCTGCCCCATCTTGATCCAGTTCGTTGGGCTCACGTACGTGAAGTTGCAGTCGTTCGATGGCTTGCAGCAACCGGACTGCATAATAGATACAAACTAGTTTGTTACCACATTCTTCAAATCTCATCATGAAAATACCAAGTACTCCGTATTAAACTAACTACACGAACCAATTCAACCAAATAGTTCAACTTTGGAGTTCTAAGTTGCATTTAACTTAATTTTAAAAAATGTTGAGTGACGGAGAAGTTCGAACTTGGTTATTTTTAAATCTGAACTTTGCAAAGCATCGATAATATGTTAAACTGTTAAAAGAAACAATTCAACTAAAAGTTGGAACATGTGATTCTAAAATGTGAAATACTTAAACACAACAAGTGTTACTCGTGTGAATATGAAAACTTTTTCTGAACCTACAACTTGGGATTGAGTTGGTTTCTTTCAACACGTATCTAAAGTTTATTAATCAAGGAGTCACGAGTTCTAACCAAATGTTACAAATAATTTGTAAGAGAGGGAATAACATTTTTCAAGTGTTCTAGATTGAATACAAAATGTATAAATAAACATCACATTTTTTGACAAAATTAGATGAGGATAAACAGATTCGTTCTTCAAAGTTCGAATACTCATAGATCACATCTCATTTCTCTTGAAACAGAATACGTAGTATCATGGATCTCAAAACTTCAACTAATCAGGGATTGAAAAGGGGCATAAAAGAAACAGACCTGAAGAGCAGAGAGGTGTTGTTTGTAGAAAATATCAGCAACAATCTTATTATTATTGGCATCATCGATCAATTTCTGGCAGATCTTACTGTCCTCGAGACAGCTCCGGATCCTTCCCCAGTTGTGATCGACCTTCTTCTGCAACCAGTGGGAGTAATCTCCGAACCTGTACTCCTTATATCCTCTGCCGGAAATCGCCTCGCCGGCGCCCTTGTTGGTGACCACGAAGGCGAAGATGGTGAATCCGAAGAGGACGACGATGAGGACGAAGACTCCGGCGAGGTAGATCCAGAGAAGCCAGGAGACTCGGCAGCACGCGCCGATGACGCCGGCGAGTGAGAAGAGCAGGAGGATGACTCCGACGGCTATCACCGGCTTCTCGAAGTAGCGCTCGCAGTCGGTGTTGGACTGCCTGGAGAGCCAGACGCCGCCGGCGATGATCGGGATCGAGATCAGGAGGGAGATCACGTTGAGGATCCCGAGCAGATTGTTGCTGAGTTTCACCATTTCTCTGAGGATCGATCGACGATTGGGGTGATTGGAACACGTGCGGCGGGGAAAGTTGGGAGAAAGTTGGTTGAAGAAGAAGAAGAAAGAATTTGTTGAGAAAAAAGGGGAGAGGCTTTTTCTTTTCTTGTTTTTTTTTCTTTTCGTTTCTTACTCCGTACTTTATTTGCTTTGTGAGTGGTGGAGGGGTAATAACCGTAATATTGGGAGGAAGAAGGTTGGAAGTTGTAACCGATGACGGTTCGATCGAGTGAATTGCCAGACCGCGTTTGGTTGGCTTGTTTTTGTCCCTAAGTTGAAAATTAATCCGTATTAATTAGTACTACCTGCGTTCCAGAGTATTTTGTCTGCTTTCATTTTTACACACCATTCAGTACATTTCTTTAATTTATTTTATCTTGTATAGAGTAATTTGTATATTAAAAAATTATAGAAATTATATATTAATAATCTATATGTTAAGACAAATCAAACAAGATCACATATGACTATATTTAGACTTACACATTGAGAGAATTTGATGAGTCAAAACTGGACGAATACTACAAGACTGAAGGACTACACGGCAAAGAAACGGCAATTGTTTGGTATTGCATCCATATTACGTGTAACGATTTTAACTTACAAAAATTATCCAAAGCATTGAAAACAATGCCAGTTTTGTTCGATCTTTCAAAAATAATTCAAATTTTTTAGAGTAAATTTTTAAAATGGTCTTTTGTAATAAAGTATTTTTTCTAATTCAGTTCTCTATAACTTTAATTACCTACATGGTCTTCTATAATTGAGATGTATTCCCAAGATAGTCTTTCCTAAATAATCTTACTCAAATCAGGGCCGGCCCAATAGCGGGACAAACATTCTATCCGAACCGGGCCCATGTTATAAGGAGCCCAATTTTTTTTAATATTATACTCCCTCCGTCTGGAAATATTCTTTCCACTTTCTTTTTTGGTCTGTCCGGAAATATCCTTCCCATTTCCTTTTTTAGTATACTTTTTAAGGATAAATATCAATAATACCCTTCTATTTTATCACAAATCTACTTTTTTAGTACTTTTTTAATAATAAAAGGAGATTTAAAAATTTATAGAATGTGCATTTTTGAAAATTTTGCATTTTTTTTACTATTCCTTAATAAGCGTGCCAAGTCAACACGGGAAAGAATATTTCTGGACAGGGGGAGTATGTAATGTATATAAGAAGCCCAGCCCAAATATTTCAAAAGCCCACCTCATTAGCTGCCCCATCCCTTCCTACTTCGTAGACAACTAACGCGAGGCTCAGAAGAAGAAGCTGGAGACGAAGCCTACTGCCGAAACCCAATCGGAAAGAGAGTGCCGACTGTTGAGAACACCGCCGGTAGAGAGACGCCGCCGCCGCTGCCTCCAGACGCCGTTGCACCATCCAGGTATTTCGTATTCACTATCTTTCCAATTTAGTAATTTTTTTCTAATTTTCTTTCTTTCATTGTTTCATTCTTCGGATTTAAAATATAGGGTTAATTATTAATTTTTAGTTTGAAATCTTTGCTAATTGCTATGAAATATGAATGAATTAATGGTTCCATATATTCTTTATTTGATTTGGATGAATTGATTTGAATTTATGATATATATATATAAAAACTGAAAACTGAAAACCTAAAAAAAACTGAAAAATTAATATATTGACTTGAATTTAAGATATACTCCGTATATAAAAACATTGAAAACTGAAAAAGAAAAAAACTGAAAAAATGACGAATTGAATCAATTGATATGAGTTTATGATATACGGAGTATGAATTTATTTGCTTGCTTTTCCATATTTGATTTTTCTAAGTAGTAAAATATATGAATTTGAATTTTATTTCAGAAATAATGCAGACCATGACGAATAAGGGTGTTTTATTTCAGTATCAAACAAGGATGATAATGGGTATAACCAAAAATGGTTTTCTTTTAAAAACAAGTGATTAAGAATAAATGTTGTAAAAAAAAAGGTACCTTGTTACAAAGTGTAGTATTTTGGTTTTTAAAAGTTGAAGTTAAATTGCTTACTTCTAACTTTTCTTAAAAAAGATAATGCATTTCCAAAAAAGCTTATGAGTAACTTTCAATAACTACTTTGTTCTAAAAGAAAAATGTATAGTATTTTGATATTAAAAGGGTTGAATTGAATTGCTTACTCTTGATTTAAAAAAAATAGATTGGCTTTTTAATTCTTTAGGTAATAGATGTAGTGATTCAAAAAAACTCTGTGGTAGAAAAAAAGAATTTGGCCAAGATTTAAATGAACCATTTAACAAAAAAATATTGTTTTCAAAAAAAAAATAATTGGAAGTGTTCTTCCGAGGTTCCCACCAAGCTTTTTTTTGGCTGAAGTGAACTGGCAGGGTGGTTGGCTTGACGACTTGCCATTGGGACGATATTTCATTGCGGGTTTGCCTTTTTTGGTGGTGGCCTTTGGTGCCATGGTACCTGCAAGAACAAATCACAAATAAATGTTGTAAAATAGGCCAATGTAAAATTTTGGAAAAATTATGAAGTAAGCGAAAATGGTAATCAGATGACTACCTAATATGAGAAGAGCATATACTGCGAAAAAATGCAGATTTTGAAATTGGGGGAAGAAATAGCTAGTTTGGGGGTTTTCAAAAGTGAAGCAATTTGGGCACAATTTCACAACAATTCAAGCAAATAATCAACCTAGATGCATCACAAACCTAAATATTTCAAGAAAAAGGCAATGAAAAAACACACACACTCAAAAGAAAAGAAAATGAAAGAAGCAAACCCTAGGCCCAATTGCTAAAGTTCGAAAGAGGAGGAAGGGAAGAAGAAGAAGAAAGGAGGAGGGAGAGAGTGAGAAGAGTGGCGGTGTCGACCGGAGAAGGAGAGGGAGAGTGAGAGTGAGAACGAGAGAGCAAGTGAGAAAGAGAGAAGGAAGGGGAGGTGGTTGTTTAAATAACAACGTAGACGGCTAAGGGCACAAATGCCCTTCACCGCCTACATTCATCGTAGATTCATTCATGGTGCGTGCACAAATCAATAACTTAAATGGTGCCGGTCAAAAATGACCTTTTCCGTTTTAGCGGGTCGTAGAAAAACATAGGCTCTAGGTGGTCAGACTCAGAAGGTCATTTTTGACCTGTGCAGCTTAGCAATTGAAGGGGGTGGGCGGGGGGGGGGTGTTTGGGCCGGGGTGTGGTGGCAGGTGGGGGGTTTTCGGAGGGTTATGGGAGGTAGGAACCGTCAATTTTTACGAATGGGGCACCAGAGCACCCTCAGGTCATCCCATGACATTGGTTCCCAATGATATGGGAACCGGCCTCTATTTAACATTGTGAAAACAACATTTTTCGTTTTTCAATTACGACTGGAAATTGTCAATCGTCATCATCATCACATGACTCGCTTCAAGTTTATTTACAAAACGAGTACTTTAAGCAGACTACAAGTCATCGTAGCACTTTTAGACTACCTTAGTTAATCAAATACTACAAAGGGTAGGTAATAGTCATTACAATATATTCAATCATAAACAGAATAGCCATGCAAAAGTCCGATTTTTCTCATAAACATGAAAGCCATGCAAAAGTGAGATTCCTCTTGTTAATAGGGGAGTAACCTACGACATAAAAAAGAAGAAAGTTAGGAGCCATTCATTACAATTAATTATATATGTAAAAAGCCAAGTTTTTTTCTTTCTTTTTTATATACCTTATTTATCTCAACATCTTCATTCCTTGCCTTGGATGAATCGAAATAAACCAAGAGGATTGAGAGTTCGTGTCTGCAAAAAACAAAAGTTAGTATAGATGATATACAATAGGCCTACAATCAAACAAATAGTGAGTTTTATTAATTTTATGCATTAAAACGTGGATCCACTTGGAGCATTTGTTCTAAGGCTTCTTTCAGCTCACCCACTATATTTCCAAACTCTATTTGAAACCTTGGTATGTGAGAAGTCTTCTCTATTTAGTAATACATAAAAATGACTCAAATGGGAGGAAAAAAATAAACTAAAAAATGAAACTAAATATTAAATGGACCAAAGATTAAACTCACTGGCAAATTTGTATTGTGTTCTAAAGTGTTTCTCAAATGCCTTATAACATCACATCCTGGCACATACCCAGTTATCCTCACACCATGAAGCAGACTATTGTTGGTCTTCTGAACCCAAGTCATAAGCATGGGGTAGTAAGTGGCTGAATTCCAGATCACATGATCAACCTGTACTTGATCATATACCTTCTTGTCGAAGAGGGAAGTATGGAGCTTTTCGTGCAGATTTAACCCTTCTAATGTGTTCTAGAATAGTGAGTTATCTAAGATAATACGTGTATCATCGAAACTAAAATTATACACGTACGCACACACACACCACATGGTTAGATAGTCGAGAATTGCACTTTATTGTATAATAAACAGTCGAGCTTAACTAACACGTCCGGGAAACAGCTAGAAACATGAATTACAATGAACAAAGGTGTTGGATTAATAGATACAGTACCTGACATAACTGCTTGAATTAAGAATATGTATGAAGTTCCCCAAGGACCCCATCACACTCAGTGATATTGGATGACCTGGGATGTTGAGGACCCCTACGATCAAATTCCCTAAGTCCCACAAATCCTGTCGTATTCTTTGATGGACGTCATTTTGAAGACAAAGCATGTTTCCAATCTTGGCCGTGTGGGATGATGTTATGTATATCCCGTCTTCCAGGTTTGAATGGAATGGGTGATGCTGTGGGAGTATTAAAACTGTAAGGCCATGGGTGTTTGCCTGACAAGCATAATTAAACTACATTTAAAATTAGTAAATAAAGCTATAAAATGTGAAAATAAAATATAAAGAAGAAGAATACCTAATTAAAAGATATAAATCTTGCTCGATGAGTGAGAACCACTAATAGAAGGACTTTGGGGAGGTTTCATGGCATTTTTGAATGAAATAACCTATGAGAGAGTTTTCGAAGGGTTCGACACCTAGGGTGTCATGTTTACCATCCTCGAAATGGATTTAAAAGACATACAAAGAGGAAGTTGGAATGTTTGTGTTCCATTTGCTAAGCGGTTTCTTTTTTCAAAATGTACATGGGATAATCTTTGTCATACGCGTGGCAT